TTGTTAATTTGTCCTAGGTATTTTTTTTTACTAACTAATAAAAGTGGCATAACCCGCAGTGCCCCGTTATTAAACGGAGTACACGGAGTATGGGATAGTAGGATTTAGCCAACTCCGTCCTTGCCATCCCTTCCTCCTTCCCAAAACTCAAATTTTCATAATAACAAAACTCAATGAAAACAACACTGTTTTAATAGTAGGAAATTTTTTTGTGTATTTTTGTATATATGAATTCTAAATGATTTAAAACTCTTCAGATATTTAATAATAGTATAAATATTAATTATTATAGAATACACGCAACTAAACAATATTCTCGAATCGAACCATTTACATATTTAAAATTTATCAATATAATATGATATCTCCAGTGTATTACAGAAAACTAGATTTATTTAAAGTATAGTGATAAATATTACGTAGTATATCTTTAATACAGTGGTAAACATATTGTTTTAAGCACTGTTGACAAAGTAAAATAGAATAGTTTGTATTTGATAAAAAGAAAAATTTGTAGACTCTCTTAATATAAAATAAAAGGCCTGGTTTTTAATGACAAGAAGAGATTGTGTTTAATAATTGCTTTGGCATTCTCGTATTTATTATGTTAATATAATATTAATAATTCTTATTCAAGAAAATACAAAGACACTAATTATGTTTGGAAAATGATATTTCAACCGAAGTATTTGACCGATTACCTTGGTAGAAACTACGTGGCCTGTCCAGCTAGGCCACTTCTATCTTTTTCTCTCTCATCTCTTCTCCCTCCTTTCTTTATTTTCTCATTGTATTTCTCTCTCTAATATCTCTTTAAAAATTTTTTATAAACCGTGAAGAATAATATAATCAAATAAATAAATACACATATTTACCTTCTAGAAAAAAAATTACACATATGATACAATATATATAAATATATATGAATATGATATATGATATGAAGCTGCAACCATATACTTTAAAAATCAAAAGTTTTTTTTTTTTTTTGGGTAATTAAAAGTTATTTCTCTCTTTAAGATGATAAGAAATATTGTTTGAAGTGCCGAAAGGAAGAGGGAGAGATTTGATAACTATTAGAATTAAAGAACTTAGCCTAAAATTTGACTGCCTGGGAAAGATGAATCTTCGAACGCGTATATTGTTTCTTTTTTATTTTCTTTACTTTTTTTAATTGTTAAAGTTGCTTACCTGTTATATGTATTCTGTCAAACTAATCTGCTAAAATCATCTGCACATCTATCACTATCCTTTATGTTTTTAGCTTTAGAGACGGTTTATTAAATTGTGTAGACAAATTACAAGTAATGTGTGAGAAAGTCCAGAAGAAATATAACGTTCAACAATTATTGATACGTAAGAGGACTTAAAAATTAGAAGAAAATGTTCTGTTAAAGAAACTTGTATTGGCTAATATAATAACAGTTGTATTTATATCATACGGAGTAATTAATACAAAATATAATTAATACAATGAAAAATAAAAATAATATAATGAGATCACTTCTTCGGAGCCTCTTCTGTCATGGGTGGTCTTAAATACCTCTTTTATCATTGGAGGTCTTAAATAAGGACTTAAATCCTCTAAGTTAAAAGATTTACTAAGTTATCGTAAGTTGAATTCCTTATAAAATAACATGTAACATTAAAAACATATCTATTGCAAGTGTTAAATTACGTGAACTAATTAACGACATTTAACATCGTTATCTCTCCCTCATTTTTTTCAAAAAAAGATCTCTCCCCTCTTTATTCATATCTGAAACAAGTCGCATCTTTTTTTCTCTTTTAAATAGTAACAAATTTTAAATTTTTTTTCCTAATCGGTACTCACACAACCCTGGTTCCAAGTGATTGCTTGCACAAAATTTTTAGATTTTAGATTTTTTTTATCATTTTATGTTTTAATTTGGGTAATACAATAAAAAGATAATGGATCCGTTAAAGCATAATTCAACTCAACCATAGGTATGGTTAATATGGTTAATATCACTACAAACAGTATTTTGGAGCAGTAGCATAGATCAAGATATCATGCATTTGTATTGTCTTCATTCTACATATTGTATTTAGATTTTTTTTGAACTAAAATTTGTTACTAGGTATTAGGGGCTCAATAACTTTTTATTGAATTCTGCTTTAATAGATCCATTACCTTTTTATTGTATTACTCAAATCAAAAAATAAAATGAAAAAAAAAATCTAAAATCTAAAAATTTGGTGCAAACAATCATTTGGAACCAAGTTGTGTGAGTACCAACTAGGGTTTATTTTTATTTTGTTACTATTTAAAAGAAAAACATAGACGCTACTTGTTTCAAATATGAATAATGATGTTACTATTTAAGAGAGAGGGGGAGGATTTTTTTTGGAAAAGATGAAGGAGATATAATGATGTTAAACGTGTTAGACTATGGTGAATTTTTCTAATTTCAAAACGGTACAATTTTAAAATTTTGGTAAATTTTCTTTATTTAAAAACGGTGCAGTTTTCAAAGTTTTTTAAAATTAATTGATGTGATTTAACACCAGCAGTAGATAGGTTTTGAATGTTATATGTCATTTTATAAGGAATTCAACTTACGATAACCTAGAGAATTTTTAACTTAGAGGATCCAAGTTCGTTAAACAATAGGAGGTCTTAAGCCACAACTTTAAGATTGAGTGCTTAAATGCCAACTCTTTTAATACCTTTTTGAATGAGATAAAATAAAATTATAAAAAAAAAAATTGATTATCTCATAGCGAACCACCTTTTGTTTGATAAGAAAAAAAATGCTGAATGGTAGGGATAGAAGAAATGATGACTGAGACACCTCTAGAGAAGATATTGCATTTTTCACTTTTTGTTCGATTGGATGAAAGATAATGGAAAAAGTTGATAATTTAATTTGATTTGTATAGTAAAAGGAAAGATAATTTTTTAAGTTTTTGTTCGGTTGGATGAAAGAGAATGAAAAAAGCTAACAATTTAATTTGATTTGTATAATAAAAGGAAAGATAAATTTTTAAATTGTTTTTACTGAATTTATTAAATATTTATTAAGGCTGATGTAGTAATTTAAAATTTTTATAATATGCTTAATTGTCTTCTCTCCTATTTTCCGTCCATATTTGTGGGATAAAAATTTCTTATTCATTCATTTCTACTTACTTCCACCCCTCTTGTTTTCTGCCTACTAAACATATCATAAATGATATCATTATAAATTTAAAATTTATCAATAAAATATTATAGGGGAAATTATAGAAAAATGAATTTAGGAAGCACACTTATTACAGTCTTGTGAAGTCAAACATATCAATTCACGTGTAAATGAATTCTTCATATTTGCAGACATGGACATGAATTTTTACAATTTATTATTGTGAAATACCTTATTTCCCCATTCTACTTTTGTGTTGAATAACCCATTTGCCCTCGGATATTTTACAAATTTGAAACCCACTTTATCCTCTCCCTTTGGAAGTCATTACTCCCCCAACCACTAGTCCAACTCACTCCAACGTAACCCACAACTCCAATACTACTGCTGGTTCAACTTCCATAGTCCAAAAAAAATTTCCACAACAACCACCGGTCCGCTGTCAAACACCGCCACCGATCACCCTGTCATTACCATCTGATTTTTTATTTTTCTCTCCTCCCTCTCCTTCAAAACCTCTAGACTATAGAGAGAGAAAATAGAAAGGTGGAGGTGAAAGGCCAGGGAAAAAGGGCAGATAAGGTATTTTAAAATAGTGAATAGTGAAAATTCATGGCCATATCAACAAATTTGTTGCCTTCAGAAGATTGTAACTTGACATGTTTGACTTCACAAGACTGTAATAAGGTCTTCTAAGTCCATTTTTTTGTAATTTCCCAATGCAGAAATATTATAGAAAATTAGGTTTATCTACAATGTATTAATAAATATTATATATATAATGCAAGGGTAATCATATTATTTTAACATTATTGACAAAATAAAATAAAAAGAGTTTCTGTTCGATGAAAAGAAGAAATAGATAAATTATTATTATTATTTTTTTTGACAAGAATATTAGGAGTTAGTTGTTAGAGGGAGGAGGGTACAAAGTTCAAACACAGGGTGCAACTCAACCACTCCGGCAACACATCAGTGAAATAAAATAGAAGAGTTTGTTTAATGAAAAGAAGGGTTTGTTAAAATAAAATAGAAGAGTTTGTGGACTTTGTGATTAATTACAATTTTTATTTATTTATTGTTTAATGAAAAGAAAAATTTGTATGATCTATTAAAATAAGATAGAAGAATATGTGTTTAATGAAAAACATAGCTTGTGTTTGATGAGAACTCTTTTATGGTCCTCAAGGCCAGAAATTAAATTCAATCACGATAATAAATATAAATTTTATAAATTAAGAGACAAAGAAAAAAAATTACGTTAATAAATGAGTAGTTTAAAAAGGAATTAACAAAAAATTTAAAAAGGAAAGAAAAATGAGAAAAATTTGACTTTTTTGAAAGAAAATTTTGACTTTTTAAAAAGGAATTAAATGAGTTTATAGAGTTAAAAAGAGAAAAGATTTCAAAATTTAAGAGATAATTTTAGAAAATAAAAATTTTAGGAGGACATTATATAATATTTTTCTTATATAGATATAAAATATATAAATTTAATTTATATATTTTATACTAAGCGGGACTGGCCAGGAAGCACGTGCCCCCGGACCGGCTCTAGTCAACTTAATCACAAATATATATTTTTTGGTAAAATAAAATTATAAAAATAATAAAAAATTCCAACCAAATTATTACTCCGTATTATTATTATTTTTTGACCCACAAAATTATTTGGTGGTTGAAATGGGTTTTGGGTATTTAAAGGGAACGAAAATAAGATGTCTTTTCATAAGGCAAGAACAAGGCCTACTTTGTTAAACAGGGACGGGACGACGACGTTGGCAAAATGTTTTTCCAATGTCACCAACCAAAGTCTTATAATTAGACTAGGGTCCACCTCCAAGCCGACCCGGTCCACACATCCTGTAGCCCTAAAATGCACTCTCTAGACCTATTTAGATGATAGCCCTTCCCCTCTCTCTCTCTCTCTCACCATCACTATCGCACTGTGTCACAAACTAGTGCACTGTTCATCATCATCATTCATCGACCTTGATTATAATCAACAACCAGGTACTCTCTCTCTCTCTCACACACACACACACACACACACACTTATTCTCTCTCTCTAGAGAGCTTTTGCCTCAAAAACTTTTCAGCTTTCTCACTGGAATATAAAAGCTCCTAAAGTTGAGTTATGGCTTGAAATATAATAGTGATGAGTAATAATTATATATGCATGTATAGTATTAATTCTTCAAGTGCTATCTTTTGCATTGCCATTTGAATAATGTTTTGATGTTCAAATTAAATGCTTAGTTTATTCGCACATTTGTCACGATGTCACGTGTTGTTGTTCTCTGTAACGTTAGTGTGACCGCCAGCGAATTCGAATCTGTTTGGGGGATCTGACTTCGATTTCATCGCTGGCTATTGTTTCTATATCTCTCTCTATATATATAGTGTAATTGATAAATTGACAGAGACTCACTTTCAACTCCCTCTCTTTATGTGTCTATTTCTCTCTCTATATATGTATATGGGAGTTCTACTATACTACATTATTTCTACTACTTTCACTGTATAACTAGTGAAGTAGGAGTAGTATTATTTCCGATCTGCATCTGCATTTGCTTTCGGTACGTCTCTCTCTACTCTCACTAGGGTTTTGTTCTCTCTCAAGTAGATCTTAATATGTGCTTCTGTAGATATCTGCTTGCATTTTTTTTACCTTTTTGAGAGCATGAAAGGCTTACAAAAGATGTCTCTCTCTCTCTCTCTCTATATATATATATATATATATATATATATTTTTTTTTTTTTTTTTTCTTTTTCCCTTCCAATTTCTGCTGGATCTGGTTTTAGTTTCTTATTTTTTGTATTTCACTTACTTAAAATTACTGTTGGTGATAATATGTTTTGGACTTTAGATCCTATGGATTCTCTGCCTGGATTTTATTAGATAGCTCTTTTTTTACAAGTTATAGATCTGTAATTCTTTCATTTTATCTCACTCATTTGTGGTTGTTTTTGTAATTTGATTCCTGTGAAGACTAAACCTTCATTGTGAAATCTGCAAGAACCAATTTTGTTGCAAATGCAGGAAAATGTGATCTTATAATCTTGTGTGCTTTTATCTGCTCTTCAAATGCAAATATAATGCTAATGCTAACGAAAATCAGAAATTTCTTAAAAGCATTTTCTTGATATGGAGCAGAATCTCAAGTTTTATCATGTAGGGAAATTTATTAATTTATTTCTTAACTTTCATGGTAATTGCCGATTGGTATTTATCAGATTAATTGGTGCCTAATGTTGACAAGGAAATGAATCTAATTCTTGAAAGATTTTTTTAATGGTTATTAATATTTGAAAAGGAAATGAATCTAATTCTTTTTTTTTTTTTTTTTTTGATAAGTAAAAATATATTAGAAAAACCTTCAAAAGGGGAACGCATCCCTAATACACGAGAAAAGATCTAAGGACCAATAGAATCCAAGAGATCAAAGAAATCATCAATCGAGGAGCATGTACTTCCTCTAACATAAAAGAATAAAGAACGAAGAATATGAATTTTTAAATTAGCTAAGGACGATTCTTTTCCTTCAAAGGATCTGTTATTTCTCTCACGCCACAAACACCACCAGACACAATGAGGAACAATCTTCCAATAAGCACGAGCTTGTTTCTTAACAGGACAGCTTTTCCAAGCGTTAATCAACTGAGAGGAGTGCTTAGGCATTACCCAAAAAATGCCAAAAATGCTGAAAATAAAACTCCAACAACCAAACGCCACAGGACAATGCAAAAGAATATGATCCACGGATTCACTATCATCTTTGCATAAACAACACCAATTAACAATGATGTTGCCTCTCTTTCTCAAATTGTCCAAAGTCAAAATCTTCCCCAATGTAGCTGTCCAAGCGAAGAACGCGATTCGAAGAGGGGCTTTAGAGCACCACACGGACTTCCAAGGAAACTCGGAACCAACGAAATTGGATAAATGAATAAACATAGAGCGGACATCATACCGACCATGAGCCAAAGGAACCCACAAAATATCATCACACCCTCTGCCAGTATCCTTCTGCCTATACAAAATATCCAAAAAAGCAGAAACTTCCTCCATTTCCCAATCCTGAAAAGACCACCTAAACCGCACATCCCACGTAACTCCATTGTTATCAAGATGATAACAATCAATCACGAAAACATGCTTATTAGTTGCAATGCTATAAAGCCTAGGAAATGAGTGTGAAAGCAACTGGTCGCCACACCAAAGATCCTCCCAAAAACGAACATGAATCTTTGGAAATGAATCTAATTCTTGAAAGATTTTTTTCGTGGTTATTAATATTTGAAATGGAAATGAATCTTTGGATGTTGGATGGTCTTTTCATGTTTATTCTGTAACTTGAAATAAGCCTTTCATTTATTTCTTGATGTAGAACAAGAAAGTTTTTGAAGAATACGGATTCCCCTAATCCAAGTTTCCAACCTTTTTGTTTCTTTCAATTCTTATATTTATTTTCTTTTGTCATGTACACTTACATGTCACTTTCTAATTTTATATTTCATGTTTAAGTTTGACAATCGCTAGGGAGTTTTTCTCAGATGGTTCATTTGCATATCTCAGATAGCATGATGTTCTATACATTGATAAACTTTCTTTTGTAACTGTGCTGAATGTCTTATTTTGTATTTAAATTTCCAGTCTTAATGTTAAGTTTCCATTTTCAAATATTAAAGTCATTCCCTTCAATGAGAACCTGAAGTGGAGGGTCATTTTCATTTGCTTGAATCTTAAGAGGACTGTCTTATTGTCTGAAATACGAATATTTTGGCTTTACCCATATTTGTATAGGATGGAACACTGGCACGACCAACCCTCTACTTTTCAGTGGTAGGGAGTAGTGATTACCATTTACCATAGTCTGTTCATAATTTGGAGAAAAGATTTATATAAAACATGGCCTACAAGTATTGCAAAAAGCTGCGTGGCTGCACCAACGCCATACGTTACTTAGTTTTTCAAAACCAATTTTGATGGCTCGTATATGATTTGTGTCAAAACTCGTGCACAACGTGCATTTTTGACTTTCTTCCGTTAGGACTTTCATTATATTCTGCCCATGGCATCAATTTCTGAATTCACCTTTATAAGAAACTTGTGGTTCAGTGTACTGAGTGTTTATTTTCCCTGTAATCTCAATAAGTGGGCATCTTCTAATATGATCTCACTTTTTTTTCTGCTTTATATTTTCTATAAGGGTTGTATATGGGTAGAAACTAGAAACCCTTCAGTGGATCTTTTGTTGTTGTTGTTTATATATTTATACTATCATATTTATTAATCTTTGTCCACTTTTTATTTATTTATTTATTTTTATCTCTTCCAAGCATAATATAATGAACTTCAAGAATATCAGAACTTGGTTGTTGATCTGCATAGTTGATTATGAATGTTGACATTTTTCAAAACCATTAGTGTCACAACCTTCAATTGCATTTCTAAATGATGTAATATAATTTTCGTGAACCCATTTTCTAATGAACTGGGAATTTATGCAATGAAAATCCATTTCTAATATGATTTAAAGTTAAATTTATTGAATTCTTATTCTTTCCGTTGGACACTAAAAAGCAAAATATAAGATTTGTGCTATTGATGATGAATTACAGGTTTGGTTCCTCTTTTTAATTCTAAAGTTCGCCTTTGTTTGCTGTAATTTTTAACATTTTGTTGAGCCATTACCTAGTGTGATCCCTGTTAACCAAGGGTGATGGGATGGTTAGACTGGGTATAAACTTAAGGTTTGGTATTATTTGCACAAAGTGGCTGCCCTCAAACTGGAACATTCTTTCTCACTCTTGGCAGTCTTAAGATTTTGCCATTTTACCTAGCAATGGTCCTCCATCTTTTTTATTTTTTATTTTATGTTATATCTATTTTGAAGATTCAAACTCAAATACAAAATTTATGTATTTTCGCCAGTTCACAATTTTCATTGTATTTGTTACAGCAGAATAGGCATCTGCATTTATAGCAATGTCAGATCTTGAGGCCCCCCTTCGCCCCAAGAGGAAGAAGATCTGGGTGGACTACTTTGTTAACTTCCGATGGATTATTGTTATCTTTGTTGTCCTCCCTATCTCTTTCACATTGTACTTCCTCACATATCTTGGGGATGTCAGATCTGAGTGGAAGTCCTACAAGCAGCGTCAGAAGGAACATGATGAAAATGTGAAGAAAGTGGTGAAACGCCTCAAACAAAGGAACCCATCAAAGGATGGTCTTGTCTGCACAGCCCGGAAACCCTGGATTGCTGTTGGAATGCGGAATGTTGACTATAAACGAGCTCGGCATTTCGAGGTTGATCTTTCTGCTTTTAGAAATATCCTTGAAATCGACAAAGAGAGAATGATAGCCAGAGTTGAGCCTCTGGTCAACATGGGCCAGATCAGCAGGGCATCAGTTCCGATGAATCTTTCCCTTGCAGTTGTTGCTGAGCTTGACGATCTAACTGTGGGTGGCCTTATTAATGGCTATGGGATTGAAGGAAGCTCTCATAAATATGGCCTGTTCTCTGACACTGTTGTGGCTTATGAGATTGTTCTAGCAGATGGACGAGTTGTTAGAGCTACGAAGGACAATGAGTACTCCGATCTCTTCTATGCTATTCCTTGGTCTCAGGGAACACTGGGGCTTCTAGTATCTGCTGAGATTAAGCTTATACCCGTTAAGGAATACATGAAGCTGACTTACAAACCTGTAGTGGGTAATCTACAAGAGATTGCACAGGGTTATATCGATTCTTTTGCACCCAGAGATGGAGATCAAGATAATGCTGAAAAGGTTCCAGACTTTGTAGAAACCATGATTTATACTCCTACAGAAGCTGTTTGCATGACAGGAAAATATGCCTCAAAAGAAGAGGCCAAGAAGAAGGGTAATGTAATTAACTGTGTTGGGTGGTGGTATAAACCATGGTTCTATCAGCATGCACAGACGGCCCTAAACAAAGGGGAATTCGTGGAATACATCCCAACCAGGGAGTATTACCACAGGCATACAAGGTGTTTGTACTGGGAAGGGAAGCTTATCCTTCCATTTGCCGATCAATGGTGGTTTAGGTTTCTCCTTGGGTGGCTGATGCCGCCCAAAGTTTCTCTTCTTAAGGCTACTCAAGGTGAAGCCATCAGGAATTATTACCATGAGATGCATGTCATTCAGGATATGCTTGTTCCTCTTTACAAGGTTGGAGATGCTCTAGAGTGGGCCCACCAAGAGATGGAGGTAAATTCTTTGCTCCTACACTATAAGTCACATGCACAAACACCAATTCTTGATAATGTTACATTAATTCTTCAAAAGTATCTGAAGTATCATTAGTATACATGACAAGAGTGTTGGATGTGTCCATCACATTTGTTGGACATGCCCTTGAAAAGCATATCCAGTAATTCAATTTTATTACATTGTTGCTTCAAAACGAAAATGCCCATGCCCATGCCCATGCCCAATTATGTTATATAAAACATTAAATTACTCTTTAAAGTAAAGAAAAATATTAAATAAGAAGAATATTTAGCAATGTTCTGCGTCTTAATGTTTGAAGATCTGATAGATTTGCACATCCTGCGCCCGAAACATGTACCCTTGAGCCCATAACTGAATTCATGGGAAATATATGGTTCTTAGGGAAAGACAAATAGGGACTATGTCGAGTCTAAGGATACTTGTAAAAGGCATCTGAGATTGTCCGTAACAAAACCTTCTAATGGACTTCTGAAGCCGCTGTCGGCTAACTTGTCTTGAAATATTTTCTATGTTGAACTAAAGATCCAATGATTTGATGTTTCTCTAGGTATATCCCATCTGGCTCTGCCCACACAGGCTGTACAAGTTGCCTTGTAAAACTATGGTCTACCCTGAACCAGGATTTGAGCTACATCGCAGGCAGGGTGATACACAATATGCTCAGATGTACACAGATGTTGGAATCTACTATGCCCCGGGACCTGTCTTGAGGGGTGAGGTATTTGATGGGTCAGAGGCAGTCCGTCGGATGGAAAGCTGGTTGATTGAAAACCATGGATTCCAGCCGCAGTATGCTGTGTCAGAGCTCACAGAGAAGAACTTCTGGAGAATGTTTGATGCTGGGCTCTATGAGCAATGCAGAAGGAAGTATGGAGCTGTGGGAACCTTTATGAGTGTCTACTACAAGTCGAAGAAGGGGAGGAAGACTGAGAAGGAGGTGCAGGAAGCTGAGCAAGCTGTTCTTGAGACTCCCTACGCGGAGGTTGATCAACCAGCGGATTGATTGATTGATTTTGAAGTTGAGTTTGGAATTTTATGGTAGGATTTCTTGCCATTTTCTATTACTCTCATTTGTGCCCATCTTTTCTGTTAAATTGAACTTCTGACCAAATGTGGTAGCTGGATATCTGTGGGACTTTATGTTTCTTAGGTGGTAGAACTAAGAGTTTCTGGATGTTTAAAGGCTTCTGTGTGTCTGATCTGATTATGGTACTGGCAATGTATTTCGCCCGGTGTAGTTGGTACCTCTGGTAATGAGATTTGATTTTAGTAATGATTATGATGCTGAATTAAATCAAACATTTAGCACTTTTGCTGCTATCACGGTGATTGAAACCTAGAAAAGGCCATCTCCAATACTGCTCCTATTGGGATACAGATATAGTAACCTGTAGCATTACCTTGATACTTTTAAGTCATGTTTTGATGCTTGATGCCTGAAAAATCACACTTGGACAATGAAGTGAAAGGAACCATGTTTGGGTTTTCGTTCTTCAAATATTTGATTTAATTCTTGATGGAGGTAAGTCGATACTGATTTTTCTTTTCAAAGTCATGAAGATCGGGAAAAAAAATTATGAACTTTTTAGCTTGGCTTGGTGATAACAAACGAACACACGTACTAACACCATTTTTGACACCAAGGCTTACCTCCTAAACATGTCACACCTTTCCTTTTCCTTATGTTTAACCCTTAGCATTTCACTCCTTTCCTTTTCCTGTTTATCTCTTTTACTACTATATTCTTTTTGTTTTCTTTTTAAATGCTTGCTCAAATCCAAGCCTTAAAACATAGCATTGATGGAAATAGAGTAACATAAACCTTTTTAATACCAAAAGATATACTATATTATTTTTGTGTTCTTTTTAAATGCTTGCTCAAATCCAAGCCTTAAAACATAGTATTGATGGAAATAGAGTAAAACATAAACCTTCTTAATACCAAAGAGAGAGAATCTTTTTCCATTTAGAGTTAGAACCATGTCTTCAAAAATATATATAAGAAAATAATTTCTACTTGTGATTTTCTTATGAGCTTTTGTAAATAGGGAGAGCTTGTCCCACATCGGATTCAGATGAAAAAGTGAATGGTTATATATAGGTTTGATGTTAATCTTACTTGATGGCATAAATTTTTGAGTTGAATCATGAAACATCTACATATTTCAGCTTGGAAAGTTATATATATTTAATCTATACATTTTAACATGTTGGGATATCCCTTAGGACATCCATTGAATAAATAAACGGAAAGAAAAATAGTCAATATCATGGCAAATTTCTAACAGTTTTTATCGAGTCTTTAGGTACATTTTGATTTGTTACGGCATATAATAATGTCACATATATTTATTTGTCATTCAAGGAAAGATGAAAAATCGTTATGAGTTCTAAAATTTACAGAGGATTGAGACAATTAAATTCGCAAATTGAAAAAAAAAAAAAAAAAAAAAAAAGGGGCCTCTCAAAATGCCAATTCATGGGCGAAGAATGAGAGCAGCACTTATTTAGCAAGATTGTGGCCTTAAGTGAAACCTTCCATGTCGCGAGGCAAACTCCAATTTCAATTTCTATCCTCAAATTAAGGGTGCAAACATCTCAACACCAGACATGAGGCAAAGTTGGCAGACAAACTAGTGAGAAATATACAAAAGTTATCATTGCCTTTAAAAATGAGGTTTAGGAAAGAAAACAAAGAAATCCTCTTCTCAACAATACGAAACTACACCCTGTACAGCTACTTTACATATCTCTATGGCTCAAAAATCACTCTCTCTTATTTGTCTCTCCCCCCAAATTCTTTTTTTTTTTTTTGGTGGTCAGGGGAAAAGTAGCTGAAAAACATTTAAAAAAAAAATAATCTGAGAAATTTCAATCACCTAAAGTTGAAGTATCAAAGACAATTTAATTTCAATCTACTTGGCTCCACAAGGTACAAGTAAAGTATATATTCATTGCTTCTAGTTTGCAGCACTTAAAAGAGCAGTTCCTGATGCGCTCCCATTTTCAAGAATGCTACTAAACACAGGCTGCAAGAGAACAGATACAAGTTTTATATAAATTGGAGAGCAAATTAATAACCGCCAAAATAAATAGAGGTTTTGATAAGTCAACCAAGAATGAAAATACTTATAATTTTGGAGAAGAAAATTACAAGAAACTCTTAACAGTTCATATTAGGCATTAGAAACCAGCAAACCAATTATAAAAAAGGCCAGGCATTTTTGCAACCACTTGCTTGCTGAATTATCTCATCATACATTTTGAAGAAAATAAAATTTATTTGAGCATACCATCGGTGATAATCCTGATTTTAGCCATGGATTATGGCCTGGAAGATTAAAAGCAAAGAAGGAACTAACTAATAAGAACTAATGTGGACAAAGAACACATTATCAGGGGCAAAATGATAAATTCATAAAATGGTTAGCCACAGGATAAACTAGGTTTGGTCTTTTTTTTTTTTTTTTTTCTTTCAATTGGCAAAAAACCCATTTGTCCCCAAAAGACAGGAATTGCCCAATCAGCATTTGTATTGTGATGTGATAGGAAGGGGGAAGACTTTTTTCCTAAGATCCTCTCCTTGCCTAGAATCTTTCATCCTTTAAACTCTAGAGCTATGGAAGGGGACTCGAACCCTCACCATTCCCTTTGGGAGGTAGAGGAGATACTACTAGGCTACAACCTTTGGTATCAAAAGTAAGTGACGAGTGGCGGGAAATTCTGATGCAAGGAAAGGAAAATAAAAAGGGAAGAAGAAAGGAGAGAAGAAAATGATAGGAAGAATAGAGTCGGGAAGAAATTCCCCTTCCAAGCTTATCTAATCTTATTTCTGTTGGTGTGCTGTCTGAATTATTACGGTCTATTGTTTGCACTCTGGATAAATAGTTGCTTATGTATTAATGTTAACTGTATGTTGCCCAACTGATTAGAGTCTATTTGTCTCTTTCAGTTGATTGCGTTAATAATCAATCGGTCACAGGTATGAGGCAAAATACTTTGGCAGCTGAGGCCTCTAACCGTCATTAAATATATCTATCTTGGTCTAACAGAAAGCTAGGTATTTCAAACCACTTATATTTTATATTCAATTGAACTGGGTATAATCGAATTTGCATTTCTTTGTCTCTAAGGGAAAGAAAGAGATTAGAGCCTTCTCAAACAGTTTCATAATCTTTCTGAAAACATCACTTTTGATGGCTGATATTAGATGAAGGTAAGAAAGAGATAGAGGATTTATCTCAACTGACGCTTCCGCTATAATGAAAAGGATACTAAGCAAAATTGAGGTTATGGCATTTTCATCCGTCAACTTGACTGCATGCCTAAGGGCATCTTTTTCCCCATCAGATTATTATTATTTATTTTTCATGGAAAGAAAATCCAGTATCATATTTACATATTTGGATAAAGTTTATTTTTAGATTTGACTGACAAAAATAAGTCTCCATAGCTCCTCAAAAATTTTCACTTAGGAACCTTATAATTTTCCATTTATCTAATATGGTCAAGGCAAAGGTACACATACCCAATAAAAATGCTACAAAGGACACATTGAACACAATAGAGCACTCTTATATCAAACAAATTTAATAGTTTGTTATTCCAAATTCCGAACGGTATGGAAATTATACCTCTGCATCATGAAAATTTGAAAGGAAAAAAGGCTCTTTCTCCCGAACTCCTCCATTTTCTGCAACAATTCTTTCCAAATCCTGTTGAGACAACTTATAGTCAATCATGGTATTAAATAGGCATCCTTTGGATCATACAATTCCAAGAAATGTAAGAAAATTATTGTAGAATAAAAATAGATATTATGCTTCACAGCCTTGACTGGGCATCTGAGAGAGTCATCATTTCCAGATTGCATGGTTACTAAAAGCAAAGACTTTAACAGCAGCTATTTTCCATAGGTTGTAGTGATATACTTTAAACACAAGGAAAAATCTAGTCACCCTAATATGAGAAAAGGCAGTCTAAGAGGCCCACAACTTAGATTGTGAAGTAATATTCTCATGCAAATTCAAGAATTACATGAATGTATTAAATTATATTTTTAACTAAACTTAAATTTCCTAAGGAGAACTTGATATCTTATTCAAGTAATGACATCAAAGAAAACCTTGTTATCACATTGCATTACAATACAATACAAGGACAGTATTATGACCAAGAAACGAGACATTGCCGATGACGTGATGCCTTGAATAACCCTCCAGCATAACACCCAAGCCATGAAAAGCTGAGGATTCTGGTAAGTTGAAGGTGCAAGAAAAACTGAGGTCACATAGAGGATGCATGTTGGGCTCAAGGAGCCCTGTAGACCTTGCTACCATACTGCATTTGAACATTTTCAACAGTAGGACAGATTTAGGTGGTGACCAATGTGTAGCTTCACTAAGACCACTTCAATGATGCCCCCTATGGCCGAGGTTCATGGCCCAGTCATTGCTTGCCTTGCTTGAGGGAGCAACTTGTATAAGAGGTAGAACAATAGGAACAACCACCTTTTTTTCTGGGCATTATGCCACTCACAAAAGGAGAAGATTTGGCAATTGCGAGAGAGCCACACAATGGTAGGCAATGGACAGACACCCTAAATGGGAATCGGTGCTCACAATAATAACGGGAATCTAAAAATCCATACAACAGGAACATCAGGAATGGTAAGTCGAGGATTATTTGATCATCACCACAGTTATCAAGGATGTCATTTATCTTGTAATCGTCAAAAATTTCAACATCTACTTAAATGGATTCCTTACTAAACTCAGAACATTACATTAACAAATAATAGATCAACTGAATAAAGCCTTTTCCCAGCCATTTGAAGACGGCTAATGAATCTTATTGGATATGCCAATTCTCAGTCATACCCAGAGTCATATTTTATTGCAATTTCAACATGTTACCATATTCTTCTCCTAGCACTATAATCAATGTGGACCACATCATTCTTCCCCACAAGTGCAGTTATTAGTTACCTACAAATGACTAAATCATGTTAATCGATTTTTCTCATTTTTCCCATTGAATACTGCTTCAGCCAAATGTGCACACTTCTCATTTTATCCTTTCTCGTCTTACATATCATATCAAATATTTCCTCATGCATTATTTGTCAATTTCTTCAAACAAAATACATAACAGAAATACCATTGGGCCATTGACCCAGGTGGGGCAAGGAGAACGGTTCAAGCCAGTATAGTGTATAAACGTGTTGCTTAAAATAAATAAATAAACTTTAAAGAAATCTCAATAATTTATTACTGGAGACTGAATAAGGTACCTGCCAAAATAAGAGAAGTTCTAGTCTGATGAAAAAGAGCAATTTATAGCAATTGATATTCAAACAGATATTTACTATTGGCTCTTTACCTTTCCGGTCAAAATTTCGAACTCAAGCAATTCGTCAACGATTTTTTCAAGCACTCGACGATTATTTTGAAGCATTTTCACTGCTTTATCATATGCTAAATTATACATCTGCACCAAAACAAACATCTACTTAAGGCATTGCCATCCGATGCATGGAAAATTCTACTCTTTCAACTGATTGATATTACATCCACAGAAGTAGCTGAAAATAATGGATGTTGCATTTATATTCAAAACTGCCGTTTATTTTATTGGTAAAAGAAGTAGGATGTGCATGTGAGAAACTGAGAATAAAACTACCCCTAAAATAATTCCAAACTCGATGATGGCAATTACATATGATGAGCATAATAATATGGGAATGATAAATAGGATCAATAATAGAGAAATAGAGGACACACTTGTGTCAGAAATATCTACTATGGAGGCTATTTATTTACTTAGGCAATTAAAACAAAAATGTAGAAGTAATCAAACAGATCTACACATGGTTTTCATAAACTTAGAGAAAGCAAACGATAGAGTTCCAAGTGATATAATTTGGTGGGCTTTACATAGAAAATGATTCCCTTAAAATCTTATAGATATTACTGAGAATATGTACAAGGATACTAAAACTAGGTTACACACCGTATGTGGAGAAACTAATGATTACTCTCAAAAAGTGGGACTGCACAAAGGATCAACACTTAGCTCATACCTATTGACACTAGTCTTAGATGAATTAACAAAAGATATACAAGGAGACATCCCATGGTGCATGCTGTTTGTTGATGACAGTGTTGTTGGATGCTTCTAAGGAAGAAAGACTTGGGAACAAAATTAGAAACTCAAAGAAATGATTTAGAAACAAAAGGGTTAAAAATTAGTCAGACTAAAACAAAATTTTATGGAATGTAAATTTAACAAATACTTGGAAAGTAATAGAATAAAATGGGGAAATTGATGAGGATATTACTAGTAAGACTGGATCAAATGGAGACCAAACTAGTGAGGATATCCTATGTGTTTAAAAAATACCAAAAGTTAAAAGAGAACATTATAGGACGGTCATTAGCCAGTTTTCTTATTTGGGGCCAAATGTAGGGCGTTGAAAAAGAAACAAAACAAAGCATTCGCATATCTAAAATGAGAATGTTGAGGTGGATGACAGGAGTGATTAGAAAAAGGGCAAATTTCTGAAAACCCCCATTACTTTCAAAAAATGATCATTAAACTCCCACCAGTTTGAAAAAACCCAACACTATTATAAAGTTATCACATTGCCCCAATATTTGAGTCCGACCCGTTAACCGGACTGTGAAATGACAAATTTGACCTTATTATTTAATGTTAAATTAAAAAATAGAAAATTATTATTTTTTAAATTACAAAAATACCCTCTCTCTTTTTTTTTTTCTTTTTCTTTTTTGTTTCTTCTTCTTCATCATCTCCGGCAGCAAGAATACTGCCGGCGATAAAGCCAATTGCCGCCAGCAGTGACCAAACCAGGTCGCTGCCGGCTTCCTCTCATTCCAGCAAGGTCGCCCGGTTAGAAAACAATGAAAGTGAATTAAGATGTATTATCCTCTTTGTAATAAATTTGAGTAGATTTGTGGGATTAAGTGATCGATACAAATTAATTTACAGAAAAAAAAAAAAAAAAAAAATTGACAGAGAGAGAGCACCATCTTCATCAGCTATTGCAAGACTCGATCTCCTTTTCTTGTCTTCATTTCTTCCTGACAAGACCACCAATAGACTGCTTCTCTCTCTCACACACACACACATACATGTATACAAATTTACATATATGATTATAGATGTACTAGAATATATATATATATAAATTGATAATATATTTTTCTTTGTGCAAATGGCATCAGTCATCCCGCTGCCATGGAGTGGAAGATTAATCATTGGGATTGGTATGATAAAGTACTGGTTCAAACTTGAACCAATTGGAACTAATTCTTACCATCAATTTTCCTCTTGATACTAACTCCAACCATCGACTTTTTAGATTAGGGTTAATACTTGCTTAGGTTAGGGTTAATACTTGCTTAGGTTATCCCGGAGTTCAGTTTTGACCAGTCCAGCGACCTCGCTGGACTGAGAGGAAGCCGGCAGCGACCTGGTTTGGTCGCTGTCGGCGGCGATTGGCTTTATCGCTGGCTGTATTCTTGCTGCCGGAGATGATGAAGAAGAAGAAAAAAAAAAAAAGAGAGGGTATTTTTGTAATTTAAAAAATAATAATTTTCTATTTTTAATTTAACATTAAATTATAAGGTCAAATTTGTCATTTCACAGCCCGGTTAACGGGTCGGACTGGGATATTGGGGCAATGTGATAACTTTATAATAGTGTTGGAGTTTTTTAAAACTTACGGGGGTTTAATGATCATTTTTTGAAAGTAGTGGGGGTTTTCAGAAATTTGCCCTTAGAAAAAATATATTTAATAAACAAAATGTGGGGGCGAGAATATGAATGGCACCTATTAATAACAAATTAAGATACAATAAACTTAGGTACTTTGGACACATTAAACATAGACCTGTTGATGCACCCGTGAAAAGGGAAGAGTAGTTTGTATAGAAGGTATGAAACAGCGAGGCTGACTGAAACCATCACGGAATGAAGTGAAAAAAAAAAAAAAAAAAAGGCTTCAAAAAATTAAATTTTAGAGGAGATATGGCGCATAATAGAACAGACTGGAAAAAGAGTATTCATGTGGTCGATCCCATCCATTTGGGAAAAAGGTAAGGATGATGATGATGAAAGCAATATTGTATTCGTTCCTGGTGTTATGTTCAACAATAAAAGCTTAAGAGTTATCTGTTCAAATAAAAAATAATGGAACAAATTCACACAGCAGCAACATATATACCTTTTCGACTTTAGCTGCCATATTATATTCATGGTTATTTCCCATACTCAAAGCCGTCCCCTGCACCAGTGGCCAAAAACATTCAGCATGGCCAGCAAAATGGCAATAAAACCATTGACAAAAACAAAAAGAAAAGACAAGAAAGAATGATGGATTTAAGGAAGATGAATACTGCATTGCCATGGTGGTAAATTGTTGGACTATCATCAGGCCCCCACCCATACTGAATCACCATCCGCGTAGCTATCTGCAGCGAATTACAAGAAATTATTCAAAATAAAAAACACTATCAAACATTATAGAGATTAAAAAAATAAAAAAATAATCCTACCTCTTGTGCTTGCTTCAATTCTGAAGAAGAAAGAATATTTTCTTCTCCGAACGGGAGCAGCAGTTTTGCTGCAACATATGAACCAAAACAAAACACAAGCTTCTTTTCAAGGTATGCTCTTGATTCAACATTTCCATTAATGGAACCTTCATTTTTAGCCTTGGTAATCTTTGTACAGCCAATTCCCTGCAAGGATAATGAATAAAATTTCATCAGTGCTCCAATACATATAATTTCCCCAATATAATCTGCGTGATGACTGATGAACATCTACTCCATTGAACAGATCTGGAACAGTGCTTAAAATTTTCAGCCTTTTCTGAATCCACAATGACGGAGGTTGAAGAACAATATTCTACTTCAGCATAACAATATAACCAAAGAGACAATGGAGATTGGAGAGTGAAGTAAACGGTTCAATGGTACTGTACTTCATTTCAAATATATTGTTTTCCATCTGACCCAAAAGATTAAAAAGAACAAGCATGAAACTTATGCCTGAATTGTTGTGCGAGAAGAATATGACTAATATCCCAAGAGTTACTGTAATTCCAAACGATGGATATGACTGAAAAAACTATTGTAGTCAATCAAGTTGTTGGACACAATACTGACCCCCACACATATGCATCTTACGTTTTCCAGTTTACTGAGTTTTTTTTTTATCAAATTGGGGATAGAGATCCGATAGGCCTACCTAACCACTATTTCTAAGACAATGGGCAGAGTATTAGGAAGACCCACACCGTTCTTTTTGAATTAATAATAACAAGGTTGACTATGAATCGTCGATTTATAATACCATGTGATGCACATAGGGAGAAGCCTCTTGGAATTATTGACACAACTTGGATGAAGTTGTGGTCAGCCTATCAATCTTTTGAATTCAAGTGGGAATAGATGCTCCAGGTCAGCATCATCAGAGACACTTTCAGGATCCAGGCTTTAGAATTCATGCCGGATAGACTTGAGATTCTTCTATGCCAAAGACACAGTGATGATAGCGGTGATGGTAATGGAGATCATGCTCACTGTTCAAATTTCTTTGAAGGCAGCTTGATTCTGCAATTTCCTTTAGCATTTGATGTTTTCCCTCACATCATAACCTTTTTATCCTAATTCAGAATATTTTTGGTTATACATCTTTTGGTTTGTAATTCTATAGTTTTGAATATGTAATCATATGAAGATTTGGTAAGTCTTTTTATACCTTGGTATAGCCAATTTTTTTGAGTTTGTTTGGTTATGCCAACCTTGGCCATTTATTTTATTTAGGTATTGGTTTCGTTGAGGAGTTCTGCTTGGTTCATCAGTAAAATGATTGAGCATTGGTGCCACTTGAGCGAGTTCGAGCGTCAGAGAAGCCACTATGAAAAATACCAAAGGTCAGGTCTCTCTATCAAGTCAGACCCCCCCCCCCCCCCCCCCCCCCCCCCCCGGCGGGGGATCCTGCCATGGCGGGACCAGAATTGGGTAATGCTCTTTTTACTTGTCATCAAATTGTCAAAGGGGAGACCTAAGCAGGACTATGGGCTATGGGTTGTATTATTTGGTGATCACAAATGTATCAAGATTAACAATTTTGCCCAAGCTAGACTATCACAAATTTATGACAAGGTAATGTTGGCTTGAGTGGACCACAGAATAGAATTTCAGTATACCTCAGATTAGGATTTTCTTAACCAGAGTTTAATTACTGTTGTTTTTAAATGTTTTTTGAAACTACTTATCAAAAAAAAAAAGGTTTTTGAAACTTAGAATTTTTGCGAACAATTTTCTAAATTGATTTCAATTGCTATAACGAGTGTTAATTAAAATGGAAACTGTGGAGTGTTTTAGATCCTTTTCTGTGTCATAGAGTGCCTCAAAATCTGATAATTAGTGATCAAGCACCAATGATCAACAATATAGTAGCTTCAGCACTAATGCTCAAAGATGACCTCGGGCATTGGCTGCCCAGTGCCCCAAGCACTGATGCTCAATAGACAAACAATGATGCGAGTCAAGGTCCTATGGGTTCATAACACCTCTTTACATCGTTGACATTAAAATTTCGCCTTATTCATTTAATTTTTTAATGATAAGGAGCCTAATAAGACATATTTGAAAGGAAAGGAGAACTTCGTTGTCAAGCTTTAAGGTCTTGTTTCTAAATGTAGTATGTTAGTAACCTTATAGGGGCTCATACTTCTTTATTATAAATTTGGAATTGTTGATACAATTTCTTGTGATAATCACGCATGAAACACATATTTCAGAAGGATATAAAGAGAACAACAAGCAAGTTTGATTACCTCCCAGGAAAAAGGCTCAAGCCATAAATTATCAACAAAATCAAAGTTCGGTAGCAGAAGAGCAATGAGACCACGACCAGCAGCCCATACAGCATGTGGAAACTTTGTCTCCCTTGTCCACTTGCAAATTAGTAAAATTCAATGTTAATTCCGTATCTTACAGCAAGAAAGGTAGCAGATGCTGTACACTTCACAATAAGATCCCACTTAAACAGATAAGTAAAGAATGAAAAACAAAGCGGAAAGACACTAAAACTCATGCGATAAAAAGATCGACTGCAGAATAATTCAGCATCCTCTCCCAAGTCAACCAGAAAATCGCAGAATTTAGCAATGAAATGGGGGAGCATAATAGAGCATATCAAGTAACTTGCCTTTTTTCACTTATAGGAATATTGAGAAACAATAGTAGAAGGTGCAGGCAATGCCAATACAAATTGAAGGTAAAATGAGAGAAAAACGATCAAGATTGTGTGGCCATGTACATTGGAGACCACTAACTGCACCAGTGAATAAGAGTCGCATAATCCACATTAGAGGATTCATCAGGAGAAGCATAACATAAAAAAATTAACTACAAATTTGATAATAATATAGAAAGAGGTAGATGTATGTTATATAGCTAAAATTATCGTCTAACCTAGTGTGAAATGGCGAAACATGGTTCATATCCCCAACACTTGGTGTTGAGCTGGCTCGAGTTAACTCAACCTTTTCCATAGTCAAGAAGACCCACCCATCCAGCAGCACAAAGCTTCTGAACCGGTGTTTGATTTGGCCCAGGAACGAACTTCAACACAATAAAATTGAGCCAGGGCAAATTTTATGTACCATTCCACCAGCAGGCCAAGCCAAGGAATATAAATTTAACTCTCATAACATCCCAAGTTATGTTCATTTTCCTCTTTCTTCCTGGCGGCTAACAGGATTATAAACTAACGGAGAATGAAGATCTAACCATCCAAACTACTTCAGGAAATTTTGTAGCAAAAGCTGATGGTAAGAGGGGAGACAACAAAAAAATAGTAATCACGGCTAAATTTACAATAGAAATAAGTAATTGACCTTGGAAGAATCAGACCAGCTTCCCATTTATAAAATTACTAAATAAGTTAAAACTTACATCAAGAGGAGGATTTAGCAGTTCTATTCCATTGCTAATCTGACCATATGGCTCCATTAGATCAACCACATTGTGCAAATCCTCTTTCGTCAATGTCAATCCAAGATGATTCACCAGCTTTTTGTTTATAGTCTTCACTATTTTGGTTTTCTGCAGCCATCTGGGGACAATGGCGCTAAAAGTCTATACAATAACGATTAAATGAATATCATTTGAGGAAGATAATTACGAAGGAAAAGAAAAACCATCCTCATCACAGAATACTTATCTATGTAAAAATCCCAAGCACTTATAGACTAACACAAGTCGCAAGCAATGAAAAAATGGCATGTATGTGTGTGTATATAGATATGCATGCGCATGTTGAAATTATAATAATAGTAAAGTTGGGAATCACTTTCTCTATTTAAAGTTTCATGGAATATCATCACAGGTATATGACATGTAACCAAAAAGCAGAAGAGACTATAAAATCTCTATAAAATTCTTTAACTGAAATGAGAAGTTACATAGTACTTAATTACTAAGGAACGTAAGAAGGTTAGTCATTACTCAAGTAGTTAAAGAGAGCATTAATTTTTTTTGGAAGACTTGGCATTCCATTCAAGATCCTAGGATTGCAATGACCTCCTTTGGGTCTGTCATTCTTCATTACGTGTATAAAAAAGCTATTTGACTACCAATATTATTACAAATTTTGGTCATGCAAATGTCAATTTTTCATCAAGCCCAGCATTAGAATGCCTTCATAGGCTCAAAAACCAATGATAGCAGACATGCAAAATGAGAGATGGCTTTATACCAAGGTGCATTCTAGGTTTTAAAATAGCAAAAAAGACACAGAAAGAGAGTTTATATGGCCTCTCTGTCTCTCTCGGCCTATTTATGTCTATGTATACACATGTATATGTACCTGCCTATTTATCTATTTTCATTTCTATTTGCATGAGACCTAAGAAACAATAAGAAAAATAAATGCTTCTACACAAGAGTCAAGACCCTTGACACACTTAAGAAATGAGTAGATAATTTTGAATTATAGAATGAAAATGAAAATGAAAAAAATAGGACGTAGAAAAGTTGTTCCCTCAGCAACCTGAAGGCAATTCCCAAACCTGTTTGAATATTTACAAAGGCTCTGAAAGGTTAAGAAATGGAAAGAAAGAAAAAATGCCTCAAAAAAAAAAAATAATAATAATAATGGGGCTGTATCCAGATAATTAATGAAATCACATATTAATAGCATCAGTTATTTCTTACCGCAAACCAGCTACAGTAGCTCATAAGTTCATCTGCATCAAGAAATTTACTCCTAAAGGCACTACCTTCCAAGGCAGTAGGGACGAGTTTCAGTTCTACAGGACGTAGAAGAGCTGTTTTCTCAGCAACCTGAAGGCAGGAAATGTTGATGCATCAATAGAAAGATAAATTAACAAGTTATCACACAACAAAAGATACTTTGGGAAATATAAATTAACACACACTATCAAGAATGAACAAGCAACTCAGAGAACAATGACCAAGAGTCTATTGTAAATTTGGTAGTAACATTTTTTCAGTAGGTATGATTAAAATAAGTTCTTCAGGCATGATACCAAATGTGAAGGTGTTGAAGAAGGCATCAGGTTACCAACATGAACCAGATTGACAAAATCTAGGCAGTAACATTTAATATCCCAGTAAATCATGTATTCTTTATAAGGTAAAATCCACGGGCATTAAATCTCAATCAAACTTATTAACCAAAGTAATTAGAATTGCATGTAAAGTAACAGTAGCTATGACAACCTTCACAGCAGTTTGTTCATCATAATTCGGCAAATATAGTCAATTGACCTAAACAACAATTTAGATGAACGGGTAAGTAACCCGTAAACCAAATTAACTGCAATTACCTTTCGCCAATCTACAAAATCAATGAGTTCATCATCCATAGTTTCTTTCGCAGCAATCTTTAGTATCTTCTCCCTTTCTGTTTGAGTTGGCCTTTGAAGATGAAATACTCTATCCATCCGACCAGGACGCTGTAAGGCCTCATCAATTTGCTTGAGATTTCGAGTAGTAGCCATCAAAACCACCCCGTCCTGTTTCTCAAACCTGCAGAGAGCGTCGTACATAGCATATGCATGTGTTAAGCACTTCAACATGACAAAACAATTGTTTGAGTCTATTACAATACCCAGTTTCATTAACCAGGAGAGGTCATAATTAAAATAAGGCGATTGTCGATATTTTGGACACTTTAAGAGTATAGAGACCCTATTTGGCCTTGTGTAGTTTTTGAGGATGCAATCCTCTTTTGAACACTCTTTAATACAATTGTACTCAAAAAAAAAGAAGGCAATGTTAATTGTTAAAAAGAAGCAAACAAAATCAATACAAAATAAGTATGTGATTCAAACAGGCTCTACATTGGCTCAACACTTCCCATTGAGTCAATAGAATAAGATCTCGCAAAACAGTAGCTTCCACAACCTCAGCATCATAGAATCTTGTTTGCTCCACAAAGGGATGACTGTGCTTTATAATCTTTTAGTTTTAATTAGTCTCAGTACAAAAATATAGTGATAGTTTCTAATAGAGGCAAAGCAATGGGCTTCAAAGAGTTCTGCCCAAAACTGCCTGGGCTCTGGTGGGAGTACATATAAACTCATAATGAAGGTACTGGATTTGAATCCCAAAAAGGTGACAAGTGCAATTGCAACCAAGGTTTTAAGCTGTGGTTGTGGCTGGCACAGTTACAGTCATGGTGTGTGCTTTTAAAATGTAAAGGGTGCTTTGCATAAATTTATGGCAAATACAAATTAACACAAAAACCATGTCATATTCACAAATATAATTGATCTAGCAAACCTCAAGTAGTTGGGAAAAGGCTTAATTGAGTTGTTGTATTCACAAAAATCATATGCACTAATAACTTAAGTAGTTGGAAATGAGTATACTGTAGGCATTTAGAAATCATATTAAATAAAAAATCATATATTGTAACTTATTTGTTTTTTTGTTTTTTGTTTGGTTTGGTATATTGCAACTTATTTGCTTGTTTCAATTTTTAAATAAATTTTAATATATTAATGATTTTTAAGTCATTTTCTTATTTACTTTTTTATGAAAAAACATTTTCTTATTTACTTTTTTATGAAAAAAACAGATATAAATCAATATCATATTTAAAAAGAAAGAAAGCTAGATGATGGAAACTTTAGCTAGACATTCGATATGAAATTCCAATGCCCTGTGAAGAATTTTATTTCAAGCCGTGCAAAGTAATTTCTTATAACTCATTTGTCCAATGAACAAGGAGTGACATTGAGATTTACCCATCAAGTTCCACAAGAAGTTGATTAATAAAAGACTCATGGTCCTGCTTTTTGTTGTGAATGAACTTGCCACGAACCCCAGCAAAGAGGTCGAAATCCTCCACAAATATGATTACAGGAGCCTACAAATGGAATCATATAACTCAGCGAAAATGAAATGTTCATTATATGATAAACTGTTTGATTGAAGAGAAATAATTGGATAGACTGACACCATTAAATTAAATATCCCTCCAAAACTCACTAACAAAGTTAGAAAAATTCTGTGTAAGTTATTAGCATACAATTTCACAAGAATTAACTACTGATAATGAAATTCTAATTAACACAGGCTGGGATGAGAGGATTCAGTCAGACAAATTGCAAGTAGATATGGACAAGTATTATACTTCAAGTATTCACCTTCACACTTTGGATTATCTTCTTTTCTTTTCTTTCTTTATTTTTTTTGGGGGAGGGTAGGAGGAGGAAAGGTTACCCCTCGGATATTTGGTTCTCCAGCACTGATAAAAATGTTAAAAAGTTTAAAAACATTAAAGCCACCATTTAGTGTCAATCCCATAAATGAAGGGCGCTCAGAGGGATGACTGTAAAAAGATCAACACAAAACTTAACCAGAATAAATGCAAAAAAGAATTTTAAGTTGGAAACATTACCAAAAGCGTTGCAACACAGTGGTGAAGAGCAGGTGTTGCATCTGAAAGGGAAGGGTGGGATTAGTGGCATCATTTTTTATCTTTTAGTTTTCCTTTTTTATACTGATGACTTGGCTTTGATTTTCTCGCTCTGTCAATCGAAAAGAAATTAATACAGATGTTAATTAAATACTGACTACTACAGATTTTTTTTTTCCTAGTTGGCACTCACACACACCCCCTCCAAGGAATTGTTTACACTCAAGAAGAGTCAAACCTTAGACCTGATGTTTCCCGAGTCACTAGGGCCAAGTGACTTACCCACTTGAGCCAACCCCTTGGGGTTGACTACTACAAGTTTAGGACTTAGAGAATCCCGAAATGGAAAAGGGTGTAAAGACTAAAAATGCACAATTAAGGAGTTAAGTTTGTTGTAGTAATATGAGAATTTAAAATTTGCCAGATTACTAAATTATATTATAGAGTATAATGAAAGATTACAGGTTTAAAGCCTGATTTCAATTTCCGAAAGGCCTATACTCACCATCAGCAATCACTATGGAAGTCCAACCCAACCATGCTGTTAAGTCAGTGTCCAGCTTTATGTTATTCCATGTTAATGTCTAAAAGTTATTTATGATCAGAACATGAAGTTATGCTTAAGACAGACTAATTCCACACCTTCAACTGGAATTCCAAAAAATTTACGTCATCTGACTGATAAAACTGTTACGAATTTCTTAGTGAAGAAAATGATCCCAAGATTTTATACTCTTGAATACTTTGAACCCACAATCATTGGTCTAACGTATTAATATATATTAAGTCAAGTTATAAATCACGCTTAAGTAAAAAATGGAAGCGAACAAGTAGTCTCATAAAGCACAAACCAAATCCCTTGCTGTTTGAAACAGTTCTCTAACATTAGATGCACTTTGGCCAACCCACAGTCCAGCCTCTAACTGTTGGGCTTTAACTTCAACAACAGGCACCTTAGCTTCTGCTGCTATAGCCAGTGCCAAAGAAGTCTTCCCAGTTCCCCTCTCACCCACAATAAGAACTCCCTGCAATATAGAGTAACTAACTCAAAGACAATCCAAAACTTAAAAAAAAAATCAAACTGGCCAACTAGATCAATATAGAGTAACTAGCATTCAATGTTCGCAAATATACAATCGACTAGATCCTGTTAGATTCACTTGTGTGTGTCAAAATGATTTTAAGATGGTAACTCACCAAAAACTAATATATAATACACACTTTGGAAAGGCCTTTGTTTTTTTGCCCAATCTATAAGGGTACGTATGAGAGGATTTAAATATTAAAGTTACACCCTCTTTAACAGCGCAAGTTTTTAGAGTAGATGGCTGTTAACATGATATCAGAGTAGCCAAAGTCCTTAGTTCAAACCTCACCATCACCCTGATAATTAAAATTGAAACATGTGTTGGACCAAAAAGAAGCCAATAACAGCTTAAGCTTTTAGAGTAAATGGTTGTTAATAGTACGCTCTACTCGTGCTACTTTCATTCGAAAGAAAGGCAAAAGGTTTGGCAACAAGCAAACGCCTTTCTATCATAGTTGCAAGGGTTCCAAATTCTAACTACTTAGGGTGTGTTTGGTAACACTGTTCTTTTTCTATTTCCTTTTTTGCTGTGTCTGTCATTCTTGTGAAAAATGACATCAGTGATTTGTTGTGTTGTCATTTCTGTCAAAAGCAAAACGTGTTTAGTAACATACATCTGCTGTTGCATTTTTGAAAGCAAAAAATATAAAACATGATTGTTAACTGAGAGAGAGAGAGAGAGAGTTAAAATTAAAAAATTGAAAGAAAAAAAATCCATGAAATCCAAAATTGGGTATTCATCTGCTGGAAGCCAAGGTGTAATACCAACACAAAGATCAAAATCTCTGACAAGTTGTCTAGAGCGGTGTTTGTGCCGACCAAACACAATGATCAAGGTGGTCGTCGATGCGATTCGTTCTTTATCAGCGAAGAAACTGTGATAATGATTGGGATTGTAGAGAGAGAAGAAATATAGATAAGAGAGAGGAACATGAGGAAGACAATGAAGCAAGTGGGCTCTCGTTTAAGACAGAGATCCCGTAAGTTTTAAGTGGCACTGTAGCTCCGCTACAATACCATTGATAACCGCAACAATTTTTGGTAGCATCATTTTGATGCTGCCAAAATCCTAAAGAAAGACACAGCAGGTTGGTTTTAAGATTTCAAAAAACAAAATGTGGTTACCAATCATGTTTTATGCAGCCACTTCTCATTTTTTTGAAAATGGCAGCAGAAAACTAAAAACGGCAACGTTACAAAACCGGGCCTTAAGTACCAAAGGCTGCTTTCGGTTGGTTTTATAAGGGGGCTGTTCACTACAATCTATCAGCACCGTCTTAGATTGAACGCTTCTGGAATTCCTAGCTATTCTTAGCATGATATTATGGAATCTCATTGCTATTACTGAAACAAGCATAAAGAGTACACTTGCATATTCATCCTAGGTCAAATCAGATATGTATTGGAATAATTGTTGGAGACTCAAATGATGGATATGCAAGCATGATAACTTATATAGGTACTTCTGTAAAATGAAAATAAGGAAAATCTTTCACTTCCAATACAATATCTTAAAAATAACATACCCGAGGGGCGCGGGCTCCCATTTCTTGGAATGCAAGAGGATTTTGGAGAAATGCCACAACTTCATTAATTTCTTCTCTCATAGATTCAACACTAGCAAAGTCTTTCAAGCGTATTGGTGGATTCTTCACCCTCTGAAAATTAAAGCAGCCATGGAGTTTGCAAATTGTTTGCTAAAAAATGCTCATGATAATCAGAATTAATTTTTTAAGTACCAAGTATGAACCTTCATTTGGTCAAAAGCAGTGCTTATCGGATCGATACCATCCTTTTTCTTGCGCTTTGTTTTTTTCATCCTATATTTTAAATAAGCTTTCTGCAAGACAGCCCAGAAATAATAAATGAAATCAATTTCCAACCAAAAATTCAAGACAAAAGATGATTTAATCAACTGCCATACAGAACTTCAAAGAAAAAATGTTCTGTGGTACAAATGATCTCCCAAGTGAGGATAGCATATCTAGTTGAAGACCACATAACATCTACTGTTGACCTAGAGATAACAATTGACAAGGCTGACTAGGATGTGTTTTTGCACAAGCATTAAAGACAATTTTCTACCCCTCCTCCCACCAGACATGTTCTAACGGGTACGTTGGAGTAAGAACTGGATTCCGATGTTCTCTCAGATATCATAGATAAAAAATTGAAAAGTAAGGATTGTAGAAGGAAATAAGAAGTATGTCTAGGAAAAGGAAAGTGGCTTCCTCTCATAATGTTTAAGTAGTAAAGAGAAGGGGAAAAGATTGTATAATCTGTGATTTTACCATTATATCCTTCCATACTAAAGAAGCTTTTTCTTGAAAGGTAAGATTGGAAAGGAGAGGAGCCATTCCCCTCATTTCCTTTCCTTCCACTTTTGGGAGGAAGGAATAGGTGCACCACAAAATAAGAGACTTCTCTCCCTTCCCTCTTCTCCTCTCTCAGACCAAAGGAAAGACAATCCATACTTTCCATTCCCCTCCTCCCCCCCTCCATTCTCCTCCTACTGAACATGCTGTAGAGGTCGCAAGTACCGTTTCCACCTCCATAAGTACAGCGTGTTGTAATCTCTAGAAATCTTGAGAGTTTGAAGTGTTGACAGGTTGCTGATGTAGCATGAATACTAAATAATGATGAAACATGTTAACAATAAGTAAATTTTAAAATCTAACACAAAAAGATAAAATAAAATAAAAATGTAGGAAACAGAAAACCAAACACAACTACTACAATCAAATTTTTTATTTATTTTTAATAAGCAACTGTTACAATTAATTTTGAACTTAAGTCAAGCATGATTTAAAAAAAATATATAACAGTAAACAGTCTAATCACAAATTGAAGCATATTTTGGAAGAATAATAAGGGCCAGTAATGCTCATAGAGATAATGAAGTGATCACAATTTTAGAATTAGGAGAAGAACGAGAATTCATGATTAAGAAGTATATAATCCTCTGTAGGCCTTACATATGGATATAGACAGCACAATATGGGAATGGCGACACAGTAACTCGAACATAAGAACCAAACACAGCAATATATATCTGTGTGTGTGTGTGTGTGTGTGTGTAATTTATTACATAACTATTTGTGATACATGAAATATGTATTTTCAGTTGGTTTCTTCAAGATTTTAATAAATGATTGTGTAAATTGGACGACAAAGCTTACAAGTGTCATATACTTTTTAATGTACAAAACTAATACTTCTCACTCTTATATCTCACGGTTCTCACCATTTTCTTTCTGTTCACATTTGTTCTATTTTCTGAAACTGTAACCTTTCTAAATTAAAACTACTTTTGTTGCATACCTGTATTGTATAGGCCACATATACAAAAATTATTTTCTTTTAACCAACTTTAGACACATAAGAGCTGTGGTCAATTTCTAGGAATTTGGGGTCTCATATCAAGACACAAACACATCCCCATTGATATAGTACCAATGCTTCATAGGAGACAAGCAACTGAATATCATAGTTGAAGGTAGAAACTGCATTTATGGGGAAAAAAGTAATACCACTCTCCGCAACTTCCGCAAATTTGGATCCCTACGTATAGGCCCATAACCAAGAACTTTTGGGATTTTTCTCTTCATAAATCGGAATATATGAAACAACAAATATCCATATATTACACTTCTAATGATAAACCAAAGAAACCATTGGATTTCATCTGTTTTCCGGGATTTAAAATTCATTTCTGCCTCAGACTGCCATTTCAAGTACCATGTTGAGCCCACAGATTGATCTATATACTCCGGCCATGCCATCCCCAACTGCATCCTCACCTGTGGCAGAACAGCAACAAAAATAAGTATCAAATAGAAATGGTGACTTTGTAGAACCCCAAAAAGTATCAGAGATTTGAAAAGACCTTCAATGAAAAGGAAAAGATTAGAAATCCAGTGTTTGCAGTGGCAAGTTTGAGCTTATTTTATAATTACCGGGAACGGGATGATAATCTCCACAAGAGGAAAAACTATCATCATCATTATGTCATCATTTATATTTCTGATTTTTCGAAGAAGCCACTCTCTTGCATATGAGGCAATTCTAGTATTCCACAATCCGTTTAAGCATTGATGAGAGAGCCTCGTTATCAAGAGAAACTGTTGACGAAAATCCAGTTCTGAGAAAGGGATCCACATCAGCTGAACGGCAGTTGGAATTCCAGATGCAATCATTTTTAAATACAACCCATCAAACCCTCCAAATTCTTCAAATAATATTTCGAATTCCTGGCATAAGAATGCTAAAATTAGAAAGGACAAAAAAAAAGAAACAAAACAATTATTCACGTGAGAAATAATACAGGAGTTACACATGTATAATATTATAACCTTAATATCAACACAATACTCCTTGTCATCCCCCTTTAACAAAATATACATGGCAGCCCAATCATGCCTGATTCGGACATTCTCTACAAGTTTCCTGGACACAGCATATGGAACAGCAATCGGGTCCATTTCCCACCTTTTTCTTTCTTCATTGTACCATGTCTTTGACTCCATTCTATCCCGATCCAAAAGGATACGTTCCTAGAAAGAATCATTTAAACAACTAAGCTTATACAATTTACCAAATAAAATGCATCTGTCACTGTGCCACATGCAAAAAAAGACAAACATTTCGGTTTTGAAATAAATAAAAAAATATCATTGAACAGCATATCTGAAACCAAAATCAAGGACCAGCATTAAATTTTACAAAAAGAAGAAATGGACACACACACACACACACAAACACATATATCTGTTCCTTTTACCAAAGAGACGAAAATCAGACCTTACCTCCACCTTGTCTGCTTGACCAATCAAACGCACAACCATTTATGGTGATGATAATGATGACGATACTTATCAAAAAAAGATAATAACAACGATGATCATTGGACATGAAATTCCACTATCTCTAGTCTCAGTCAAATGAAAAAAAAAAAAATCAGGTGCATCTGGCCAATTATGGGTAACTTTCACTCTCAACCTGATTCACTCTCTATATGTTACTTTATAAATAAATAAAAATAAATTCTCACCCAACCAGGGTCTTACCAAAGTTGTGTCACAGAGTTGGTTGAGGCTTCTTCATCGAGTTCTACTTTTAAACCCATTGAAGACAAGGCGGACAAAGAATTGCAACAACCACGCATAGAAATCCACATCCTTAATTTCATATCTAGGGCACAGGAAAATTGGCATAAGAAAGACCTTAAGTGAAATAAATTGATCTTGGAGAGGCTCAGAATTTTGTTTTAAATGAGTTCTGCAAAAATGGTTTTTCAAAAGCAAAGGATTTCAACATATTTAAAAGGAAAAAGATTTCTGAAAAACAGTAGACGTTGATCAATCGAACATCTTCCAGAGAGCATTGAGCGGAGTGTCAATCAATTGAGATTTTTAACGAAAATTAATTTTAAATCTAAAATACCTCGAACAATAGGTCAATCAATCGAACTCTTAGGACCTATATTTATGGAACCTCTCTTAAAACATATTTCTATAAGGATTCAACTTGCCAAAACGTATAGGCTATCAATATTGGAAATAATTATGGGGTTATAGTCAGTGTAGGCTATCTAAAGGGAGGAAGTCCTCGAGAGAGATTAAGAATTCCCAATTACCAGATCTAGGGTTTCCTTAGACACCATCATATGTGATTGGGTGTTCATCAATAGAGGAATTCATCAAGCTTATCGAAACAAAACAGATCGACTGAACAAGTTTCTGTGCAAAAAAGTGGACAACCAAAGGAAAAGAGGATTCGTGACGAGCAAAATATGTTGACGAAAGGACGGTTTGCAGACTTGAGTGAAAAGTGTGCACTCGTTTGCATCAAGAGGTAACTAGGGGTTCTAAGTTTGGAAGTTGTTAACCTAGTTGTAAGTTGTAACTTCTTTCTCATATAATAGATTGTTTTTTATCAGACTAGGTCCATTGTTTTTCTCTATTTAGGGTATTCCACGTAAAAGTATTGTCTCTGCTCAACCTTACTTTTTATGAATGCATGATTGTGGTTTTGTTGAAAGAATTTATAAAACTAATGAATATAAACAAAACTTTTAATAACAATCATCATAACTAAGTAATGATTTTCAAACAAGGCTTAACAGAAATTCAAAAAGTTAGTTTGTGGCAAATTAATATTCAGAAGACCTATTCACGACCCTCTAGGTCGAAGTCACTGCTTACACTCTAACGTATCAGAGACTTGGGTAATGATCTCATGCTTTAACATCATGCAAAACAAAAGATTACAACATGGTCCATAGACCCCCTTTAAAGAAAAAAAAAAAAAAAGTGAAACCAAATGATTTATTTTAACAAGTCGAGTTTGTGAAGTGTTTTACCAATGTATGTACTTATCAGAAAAAAAAAAAAAAAAAAAAAAAAAAAAAAAAAAAAAAAAAAAAAAAAAAAAAAAAAGTGTTGTACCAATGTAGCTTTTCTCAACTATCTTTACAAATCTCTATGGTTATGAGAATATAATTGAGCCTTCATTTATTACTATATTTTGTAGGATGCAATTTTTACTTGTTATTAGAAGTTGTTTCAGTAACTAGAAATCAGAATATTGCAATAAAGCGAAAGATGAGAAAATCTAAAAAGGAAAAACAAAAACAAAAAAAAGCTGAAAAACACAACAGCACAGTCACTCAAAAATCTAAAGAAACCCTGCCAACCAAATGGGGGTAAAAAGTATCTGCTTGAGATTGGCTTTCCTTTTCATTAATGCGCTTGCGTCAGAAGTCAGACAACCTTTGAGCACAAATTTCAACTTACTTCAAAGAATAAGCATTTCTCTTGGTCTCATTTATCTTGTTTTGTTGTCATACACCAAGTGTAACATGTACTTGCTTCAAAAAAATTTCTTCTTTTTATTTCTCTGATTTAACATGGTTAATGTTCAATATCTACATTTCTCTGACTATTTGTCGGGTGGGCCACCTGGTTCCATCAGCCCTCTACAGCCTAGTGGACCAGTCCCTCTTTTCCATTATGAATTATGATTTTAATGATAAATAGGGAAGTTTTGCCACCTTAATGGACAGCTTCTGATAGTTTTGTCACCAGACTCAACACTGATTACTGGTCTCCATTCTTGTATAAGATAGTATGCTCTCGTTACTTTTTATCTACAATATTTCATCACAGATACCAAATAAAAATTCAGGCCCCTTTGAGAAGGGGTTATTTCTTTATCACTGGTAAAAAGCAAGGCTGCCAAGAGTGAAAAGGCGAATTCAAGCTAAACAGCAGCCCTTTGTCAAAATAATGCCATAGGTTACATCAATACTCAATCCAACCTCGTAGCACCATTGATTAGGGCTGCAAATGAACCGAGCTGTTCATGCTGTTCATGAACAGCTCGGGCTCGGCTCGTTAAAAGCTCAGTTCGGGGTCGTTCGCGAACTAAACGAGCCGAGCTTGAACACATTTTTTAGGCTCGTTTACTAAATGAGCCGAGTAAACGAGCCGAGCTTGAGCAATGCTAAGCTCGGCTCGTGAACAGGCTCGTTTATTAAAATACTCAATTTTTATTTTATTTAATTTGATACTCATATACAATTGTGTGGCCCATTTAATATTAAACCCAATCTAAATACAAGTTCATAGCCCAGCTTCATTTAACCCTTAGCCCAACTATATTTAACCCTAAGCCCAACTATACTGAACCTATTGGCTATTACCCTATCATCATTTATATATCTTTATATCACCGGATTGTCTCACCAAATTCATTTGAGCAGCCGCAACAAAAGTCGCAGCATCACTCCTTTAATCTTCAACCCAACATCGCTTCTTCTTCTATGTCACGCCGGCAATGGTCTCCAACAGATATCTAAGATGAAACCCTAAACAAATCTTGCAACATCATTCCACTAATCCCTTTCAACTTCTATACAGCATCTTACAGTGATGGTTTCAAATTCCAATAGATCTCTCTCTCAAATCTCTCTCTTGGGTCCTGATGTCTCAATCCCATTTTAGTGTTAGGGAGATAAGAGGAAGATGATCAAACAATGGACGTCTGCGAAAGAGATGGAGCGATCTAAAGATTTTCGTTGTTTTTATTTATTTATTTATTTATTTTGGGTGGAAGGCGAGCTCGAGCTGAGCCGAGCCTGAGCTTGCCAAAATATTGGTGAACCGAGCCCGAGCCTGGTTTGGCCAAGCTCGCCCAAGCCTGAGCCACCTCCTGAAATTGACGAGCCGAGCCCGAGCAAGGTAAAGCTAGGCGCGGCTCATTTGCAGCCCTACCCTTGATTAATGGGACCGACATTAGATAATGACCTTTATATCTATGTTATTTGATAATCTCATACACTTCTTATTTTGACAAGCCATAGATAATTGCATCAAGAAAAAAGGCGCAAAAATGAGGAAAATAGAGGTACCAACAAAAACATAGGTGAAGTAATAGGATGGAAATTCAAAGAAAATAAACTAGCAAATAGGAATTGGAAGCATCCATGATAGCCAAAACAAGAAAGGGATTAAGGGAGATAAATTCATATTCTTTTATAAAGGAATTTTATCCATCACAAACACAGGTAATATCTGCCGAAGATGGTGCGTACTTAATAAAAAAAAATAACAATAATAAGCCCTTGTCAGGTCCCTCATGCAGGAGCGAATTGTTCATGTGAATGTCAACTTCAGATACTCTTGCATTATTTTATTTTGTTTTACTTATTTATTTATTTTTGTTTTTGTTTTTTGGTTAGGTAAACACACACAGCCACAAATGCCTACTATAGTGCTTGAACCCCTCACACCTCCCCTGTGAGGAAGGAGAGATTATACCAGATGGGCTAATGGCCCAGAGGTGATACTATTGCATAATTTGGTCAAAACATACCTTTCTCTCAGCAACATACTTTTCACCAAGGTCAGGATTTTCTAATAAATTTCTTTTGAGTTCTGCCTTAGCTTCTTCACGCCACTTCTTCCAACCATGAAACAAATGGAGACCAACAGCTTTCGGAATGACAACCTCCTTACCTCCAAACATCCACTTCAATTCAACTTCTGGGTAACCCTTCACAACCTCATCCGCTGGTGTGGTTACAACATAACGCTTTTCATCACCGAACCTCTTCATTTTTTTCCTTAAACCAGCCTCCAGCTTTCTTTGCAGCTCCCTTGAATCTTCAATTGCTTGTTTTATACGTTGAGCAAAATCCGCCGGATCTTGATCAAACAAATTTCCAATATCCTCAGCTTCCAAGACACTTGGTAGAATCATCTGCTCCAAGAACTGCCTTTGTGCAGTTTGAAGTTCTTTCTGAATGTCAGATCTAGAAAGCTTGGTAGGAGAGCTTTCTGGCACACTACAACCACATAACATTACCAAAAGTTTTCAATAGATTAAGTAATCATGAAACCTGAAAAACAAAAATACTGCTAAAACTGACAATACACATAATAGAACTATTAAAACTTTGAGAATCATTGCCCGTGAAGAGAGTTACATAATTATAGAACTTAGAATGCCGCAGAATTTTGTAAAACATATTGGCAAAAAACTCCAAAAATAATGGATCTCAAACAAAATGTACTAAATGTTACAGTTATAGAACTTAGAATGCCACAGAATTTTGTAAACCATGTTGGCAAAAAACTCCAAAAATAATGGATCTCAAACAAAATGTACTAAATGCTAACAGTTATACCAAAAACAATGATGCTTGAACAAATTCCACAAACAAACCAAACTTCAGAGAAAAATGCAAACTGATCAACTAAAGAGTTTGAATCCAGAAGACAAGGGAAGCCATAAATTCTATATCTAAAAGATCAGAGTTTGCAGAAGTCGTAAATTTGGTAAATCACATACATATTGCCACACATCCTCAGCAAGTAAAATAACATTGAAGCTGGAAGCCAGTAACTGTCAAGTTTAAGTAGTTTGACCAATGCCTTCCTCTTTTTCCTTTTCCATCTTAAAAATGCGTACAAGCATGTTCCAACTGGGATTTAAATCCTACCACCTACCCTTATTTGATGGTGGCAGCAAATGCCACCCAGACTAATAGCTGGTAGTAACTAATGCCTTTCTTCTCAGCATGCTTCATTATTTTTCATAGGGTTGCAACAACTGATGATCCAAAACATATGTCAGGAGCCCAAAATATATATTTACATTGAACAAGAGATTTCTTTACAAGTTACAATAAACAAGAGATACAAGACATTGCTACTTTCACGTAAAAGAGATTATAGCAGCAATTTAATGATTTTAACTCATAACTCAAACCTATGGTCCTGCCCATTCTCCTCCTGACAGGGGAAATCAGTATATTCCAATTACAATAATGTATAATCGTATTTTCTTTATAACAATTCTTCAGCTAAATGCGATACATTCTTTTCTCCCAGTTGCCTTCTCAAAGAAATTTCCTCTTTGCTAGATGTGGGAACTGAGTAAGTTGTTACCTAAAAGTTGCATCATCCCAGATACTCTTGTAATATATTCATTCTGCATAAATAAGCTTTTAAACACACTTTGCTGGTCACGTCTGCCCAAGCCTAAGGGAAAAAACGAAATATCTGATCGCAACAGCATGTCCTATAAGACTCCCAAGATTGTGGGGAAGGAAAAAAAAATTATGAAGTGGACTTCTAAAAGGGGAAGAAGAAGAGAAAGAACATGAACAATGTCCAGTATTGTGGAAATTTCATGGCACCATTAAAGAGTTTCTGCTGTTTGTTGGAATAGATACAATCATATGGCCAAAGAATTGCAACTTAGAGCACAAAATATCATTTCGACGAAAGAAAAGCATGCCCAATAATTCAGTAAGGTCACATCATTTTCAAAAGTAAGATTGTAATTTTTACCTGTCAGTACTTTGCTGTCTCATTGCCCTACTAAACCTCTCCACCAAGAGCTCACATTCCCTAGCAATAAACGAAATCTCCCTGACGCCAATGCTTAGAGCCATCGTCTCTCTCCTCAAAATCTGATCCTCAATCTCATCAAACTTCTCCCATATCTCATTATACTTCTTTTCACCACTGCCCATTTCCTCCTCCAAGTTTGCTATTCGTTTCTTTGTCCGCTCATCACTGCCCGCCTTCTTCAACAAACTCTCTTGCTCCCTCTTCGCCTTCAACACCGAGTCAATAATTTCCTCCGATTGCTTAGACAAAACCTCTTTCTTTCTCCTCAATTCTCTCAACTCCGCATCAAGTCCATCCATAATCTCCTTTTGCAGCTCCTCCTTCTTCAATTTCACCTCTCCCAATCCCACCACCACCTTCTTTATATCCCCATTACCTGACCTAACCTCCTCTATACTACGAATCAACACCGACACTGTCTCCAGTAATCTCCGAGTATAATCCGAGTACTCATGGCCCTTCCGACTCTTTGTCCTCTGAACTACTTCGCTCGCCGCTGGGGCAGCGGCGATTACGGGCACTTGAAACCCTCGAATCGGGCACAACCCAATAACAATGAAAACCAATGCAAACACAATAGATTTTGCAATCCTCTGGAGTATATTTTCGTCATCATAATTCACCCCAAGAAGAACAGGTTTATTCTCTTTGTTTGTACTTGAAGAGGATGATATTGAGGTTCTTGACTGTTCTAAAAATCTATTGGCGCTGGCATTGTTTGGTAGCCGGAGAGAGGTTTGTGGCTTATGTGAGGATTTTGCTGAAAATCTTCGAATTTGACGGCGAGAAAGATGTTTTGGCGCAAATGGATAGAAATTGAGGACAGAGTTATGATGCGAAGGAATGAGGGCAACGGTGGAAGGGCAAGAAATGAGAGAGGAATACATGAGAGAGAAAGAGAGAGAGTGGAGATAGAAAGCTTTAGGTTACAGGAGCTGTAGTGTTTGGTGAAGTGAGAGAGAGAGTTTTTGTGACATGTTTGGATTCATCACAATGTAACAGAGACGCTTCCTCTTGTTTGCCTGAAACATGCAAGGGGACAAGGTGAGAAGAGAGGGTTTCAACTTCAGGAAATGGAGAGAGAGAGATAAGATATCGGTCTTTCACCAGTCCGGACACCCAAGTAGTAGAGAGAGAGAGAGAGGCAGAGCCGGCCGGTTATGTTACCTATGTATTCGCAAGAACCGGGATGAGCTTTTTTGTAAATTATGTAATGTAGGTTTTGGATTATTAGACATGGATTGACAGATCTGGCCCAATATTATCAGTCTACGAAGGGAAGAGGCGTTTTGAGCCTGGACTGCAAAGCCCTAATCCGCTTACCGGAGTGGCTGAGCCCAAGATGTATCGAAAACACAAATGGGCTTTTTATTATCCGCGTAAATGAGTAATAAGACTTTTTACACCTAAATATGACACTTTTTTTGTACGAATTACGAAAGATACCCAACTCTCCGAAGTCCTAACTGTGTCACTATCTTTTATTTTTAGTAATAGTTTTATTTTATTATTAGGTTTTTTTATATTATTAGTTTTCTTACTGTTTTAGTGTTTTGTTTATTATAAATATATGTATACTACATTGAAAAATATTCTATTCTATTCTATTCAATTATCAATAATATATCAAAATTTTCTATGAATTTCTTTAAATTTGTGTATTTAAAGTTACCTTTGTCCTTGTAAACGATTCATAATTTCGGCTACGCCAATTCGAATTTAAATTTGTGATTGATTGTCGACGAAGATTATAGGGTAAAGGCCCCTTGGATAATCATGCATACTCAAGAATGATTTGTATCATCGTCGGGTTGCTACCAAAACAATCTGAATAGTTGAGAGTTGTGTGTTACAACTTGATATTTTAGGAGTTTTAGAGTAATTTGGCCAAGTTTTTATTATAAAATTATATGTTTATTTGCATGATACCGTGAAGTGTTGCATCAAAATTATTTTGAGAAAAAAACAATCTGGGTTAAGTGGACCCTACAATTCAGCTGGGGTTTGAGACGAGACAAAAAGAAAGTAGCCAGTGAGGGCTCAGAAAATAGGCTCTCAGTAGAGTGTGAGTGAGGGAATCGTCGGCGCCCAATCCGGCGCACATGCTTGAACAATTGGGAAACGGTCCGTAAATCACTCATCGGAAACCAACAATTGGTCAAACGCCCTCTTACCTGACACTGTCTCACTCATATCATTCACGTGAAATTTACAAGTTCATGCATTATATTATATTATATATCACTAGTCTGGTCAATACTACATTCCTTTCAACTACTTGAACCAATACTCAATTTACTCGTGAAATCACCTACTTTTAATATGAAATGGGTTCGTTTTTTTTTATTTTTTATTTTTCACTTTTTTAACTTGGAGCATGAGAATGGAATATCATTACTTCCAAGTGTTCCAAAATGCTACTTCTGTTATTACGAAAATAAAAAGTACTCTACTTTCCAAAAAAAACGTTCCAGTACTCTACTTTGCATTAAAACAACGTTTTTTAAAACAATGTTACTTTAATTATTCATGTCCACTCCAGTACAATAATTTTAGTGCAGAGGACATGCATGGTTCTCATAATTCGACAGTTGGAGCTTATCTAAATTATATTCCTTTTCTTTTCCAACACTTCTAGGACCGGCCTATATCACTGTCCTGCATCTTTTTGATTTTCTCACTCTTTTTACTGAAATATATATATTTTCCCATTATTTCTTTGTTGATTCGATCATTTCACTTATTAATTATACAGATATGTGTGAACAAAAGAATTGGAATATGAGATGGTGATGACACTTGAGAAAATGCATGGCGAAGAAGATAGAAGTTCGCTGCATGCTTTTCCACGGCTTTCTTGAACTTGAAACTTGATCGGTGGTTCTTTCTTTCTTTCCAAGTAAGTACTTTTCTTTTCCTCATTTCTTATGAACCAAACACCAAGCACCAAGCTCAAGAAAGCCGTGGGAAAACATGAATGGATTTATGTTTTTTTTTTTTTTTCGAAAGATTGGATTTATGTTTTTTCTACTCTTAAATCACGTCATCCCCATAAGGTTGGTAACACACTGCCCATTTTTACTATAATATCCCACTCTTTTTCTTTTTTTTTTTTTCTTTTTAAAGAATATTAAGGTACTGTATTTCACTTTGCACTCCTTTGGACACACACTCAGATACATACATCTTTTATATATTGGATATTTATTTCTTTTATATTGATTTTAAATGAAGTTTAATCACTTGGTCAATTTGACAATTGACTTTTCATCCGGACCAGATCTGGGCTTTAATGCATGTGCTCAATCGTGGTGGCAAGCCATGAAAATGCAGTCCAAATTATTTATAATTATAAAATAAAAAACTAGGAAAGAAAGAAAAATTAAATTTGAATCTGCTTTCATGTCTTAAGTAAGTTTTGAATATTGTAGATTTTTAATGAAAAACAAGTAATATAGTGTATTTAAAGTTTTAGATTCAACAGTCAATAATTTTCGAGATCTCCCACGTTGTTTAACATTATTGGCTTGATATATATATATATATATATATATATATATATATATATATATGCGTATTTTGCTCAATTACATGAGTATCTATTTCTAATTTCTAATTTCTAATTTCTAATTTCTTTTACATAAAACTATTTTTTTAATGAATTATTACCGTATGCAATTTAGTTCCTATTTCTTTTACCATTGCCAGTATGACTGAAATATATACAGTATTAAATGTTTCTGTTAGGAAGATTTTCTTTAACATATTTACGGGGAAAATGATTTTCTTTAAGCCCTATATCTTCTTGGACTATGTTAAGATTGAAGGAAAATTAGAAGATTTTTTTTGTGGTTGTTAAATTAATAAAATATGCAACATATGCGATTCACTTCACATGTAGTCGGTACTTGTGGCAAACAACATTCTATTTCTATTAACTTCCTAACATCCTTTTTTTTTTCTTCACTTAATGGCCTGTTTTTCACTGAAAACAATGTGGGTTTTGTTGTTTGATTTTTTTTAACCAACAATGTGGGTTTTGTTAACTAACTACTAATATCTCAAGAACTTTAATATGATTGATCAAGTACAAAAAGACAATTAAGGGGTTTCTAACATCTTTTAATATATATATATATATATATATATATATATATATTAAGAGAAAGAAATCCTTTTATATTGATATTATGAATATTGCTTTAAACTGACTTCCCCATTCTTTTACCATTGTACCAGTGGATTAAGGTACAACTATTTTTCTTTATTAATTTATTTTTTATAATAACATGAAAATAATGTTCAATATGAATGAATAATAATTGTATAATGATATAAGGTCCAAAGGATCAATGTTTGCTTACCTAGAAGAAGGTGTTAGACACTTTTTAAAACATCTGTCAAACATATATACTACCCCTTCTTTTTTTTTATTCTTTTTCTTTTTTTTTTTTTTTTTTTTTTAATTTACAAGGCGAGAAGGGTTATAAGTTAGATTAGTAGTCTAATAAATGTAGAGAGTCAAAGTTTGGCACTTCAAAATTTACAAAAAACACTAACCCATTGGACTATCGAGGCATCTGCAACATAAATATATACCACATTCACTTATAATACTTTTACTGTTTCAATATAAACTTATATTTTGAAAAATGCAAGAGACTTGAGGGATATTTCCAAAACATTGTATGAGACATCATTATTAATTTTTAAGGATGACAATTTCTCCCACTCGTTCGATTTTCTCCACGTCCCCGTCTTTAATGGGGCGAATTTGGTAACCCTTTAAATGAGTTTGGGATGAATATAATGAAATACTTAAAAACTGGAAGCGAATTTGGGGTGGAGGCGGATTTAGCGATAAACCCGTCCCGATTATATATGTACCTTTAAATTATATATATACAAAGTAACAATATTTTAAGACCATTGTTACTTTGTTGGAAGTGTCTGTTAATGTATTAATATTCACTACTTAGTACTTTTTTTTTTTTTTTTAAACTAAATATTAAAAGCGGCATAACTCGCCCGGGCCCGCTCTCACCTTGCAATTAAACGAAGTATGCAGGTGGAGTCCGTACTTTGTCTATTGGAGTAGGAGTGAAAATGGTATACTAATTACAAACTCATCCCTGAGTAGGGGTGAAATTGGTATGTTGAATTTTATAACAAGGTAGAGTAGGATTTAGCCCAACCTACCCCAACTCGGCCGTTGCCATGCATCCTTAATTATTCTATATCTTGAGTTGTGTTTATATAATAGGAAAAAACGGAGAGAGAAAAGAATAAGATGATAATAGTTTTGGGAAGGTATATATATATATGTGTGTGTATATGTTACCTCTCATTATGTTTGGTTGATTAATAGAAGAAATTAAATGATAAGATAGAAAGATAGGGGAGAGAAACTGATAATTATAAAATTGAAATTTACTTGCTATAATAAATCAAGGCAACAAGTATAAAAAAAACCAAGGTGCATTGGATTAAATGCTTATTCGATTAAGAAATATCACTTGAAACTGTAAAGGGATGCTTTAAAATGAATTAAAAATTTTAAATAACAGAAACATTATTTATTGGTGAATGCTAAAAGTTCAAAATTCAAAAAGATGTAAAAAAAATATTTATTTTTTAATTACCACTTAAAAATTTTAACACTTAAAATTGAGCTCTTGAAAATTTTAGTATTTAATTTTCGATTTTATCAAACGCACCTAAATGCCCTCACAATCCTTCAGTAAAAGGAAACAAATGTTTTTATCAATAAAATTGTTGCCGGTAAAAAATGTGTTGGGCTTTTGTTGATGCATTGTAGAAAAACTCTACATAGTTACATAGCTAGAGTACATTTACACGAACAATTTGTCATAATTATATTATAGTTTTTCAAATTACACTGAGCTTCCAAAAACCTTTATTAAGAAAAAAAAAAAAATTCTGATCAGGTGTGCGACACATACACACACATATACATACTATATTACATTATTTACACATAGTATGTGTAATAAAATAAAAACGTGAATCCTACTGGGGCGGCGAAAAATAGGGGAACAAGAGTGGGGGACGATGGGAATCTTCGCTGTAATGATGAGGAGGCCTCGCTTTACCAGTCTGACTACGCGGGGCTTGGAGAACCAAACTCCGATCCATCATAACCAAAAGCACAAAGACTCATTGCAGCTGCAGCAGAAATTGAGAGAGAGAAGAGAGACACACAGAGACATCATCACCATCGTCGTCTCTCTCTCTCCCTCCACCCACGCACCCACCCACCTTCCCACCCTAATAACCTATATATTCTGCAACATTATATATATTATTAGGTTTTTAACCATCTTTTCTGCTGCTGCTCAAAATCCCTCGGTTTCGGTTCTCTTCCCCAATTATTCCATCTTTTCATCACCACAGGTAAAAATCCTCACATTTTTTTCTTATACCAGCTCCAATCATTTTCTCAAATTTCTCAATCAATTCTGTGTTGGTGTTTAATTAATTAATTAATTTATTTTCTTCAGCTTTGGGATTGAATGAATCAGGTTGAATGATTTTTGTTTATTTGGTTGGAGAGAGAAAGAGTGTGAGACAGAGATCGTAGGTAGGGCCATTAGATCTGCTGAGTTCATTTGAGAGGAACATGTACACAAATTCCATTCCCCATAACCTCTCCGAATCCAACAGGCGAATGGTCGATATCAATGGCTCATCTCTCAGACTTTATCAAGTTTGGAAAGGAAACAATGTTAGTTTTTCTTCTTCTCATTTATTATTATTATTTTTTAAAATTTATGAAAAATATTATTTGTGCTTCTTTTATATATATATATGCAATGTGGGTATCTATGTGTATTGATATAAGTTCTTCACCAATGGGTTGTATCGTTCAACTGTTGTCCTTGTTCTTGTGTGAATTTTGCCTGCCTATTGGTGTTGCGGTACAAGGAATGTAAATTAATATGTTTGTTCTCCAAATTAGTAAATTGTGGTATCTGGTTAAATTATTCTAAAATTTTAAATATATATATTCTTAGTTGGAACTCACACACATGCTTGCTTCCACCGAGGCTCGAAACCTTGACCTCCCTTTGAGAAGTGTAGGAACCTAGTATTACTGTTAGGCCATGGTCTGTTGGTAAATTTAAAATATTTAAATAAGATTCATTTGTTTTTCCAATGTCAGTAGATTGTGGCCAATTCTTTCTTTTCATCTTTCGAAGCTGTGAATTTGGGATTCGTTTGTTAATTTAGACAGTAGTGCATATGCTTTTTCACCACTTTCACCCCGGGTTCCTTATTTCTTTAGATGATGTCTCACAATAGGTGTGCGCATATTCTAAAATGTGCAATACAAGTGTGCCTTGCTGAAGACAAAAAACTGACTTACTCTTAATAACTCTTGCAGATATTCTTCCTTGGAGGCAGGCTTATATTTGGTCCAGATACCCGGTCCCTATTCCTTACAATGTTCCTAATTCTGACGCCAGTAATCTTGTTCTGTGCATTTGTTTCTGAAAGGCTTGTTAACGTATTCCCGCATCATCTAGGCCGTCTTGTTATGGCTATATGTGTCGTCTTCACAGCATTTGTAAGTTTTTTCTTGTTTACAGATTGATTAGTCATTCATCAATAGAAGCTTTTCAAGTACATTTTTTAATCTCTTATTTTGATGCAACAAATCAACCATTAAAGGAATAAATTGAATTATAGACATAGAATATTTAGAGAAGTTATGCTACTCTTATACACTTGGGTTCAATTTCTATAAATTTGGAGCATAATTATATTAACAAAAAAATGATAAGGAAAAGATCTATGTTCTCCATTCATCTGTAGTCTGGAGATTTTGAAACACAAATTTCATGTCATATTGTCCTTCCCTAAATATATTTTGCATAATAAATAATTGTAATATGCCATATTCACATACATTTATCTGCAGTTTGCAATTTTCACAGTACATTCCATATACTTGTTGATGGTCTTAGAGTTTGAGTCAATTTTCAGAATACCATTCCTTATAACTTTCAAGTATATGTCGTTCACATAAGAAAATGGTTATTTTACTTCCTTTTAAAATGTAACTTCCAGATTTTTAGATTGCCTCATCAGACAACTGATAAGTGATATCTGTTACACTATTGACGCCTGCATCAGTCTCCTTGCTAGTCGTCTCACAGAATATGTCTTGAAGTAAATGGTCAACTTATAGTGATTCATTATCTGTACCTTTTGCATAAATCCTTCAAGAAGTATATAAAATATAGTTGGTCAAAGATTATCTAGATGTTGATGACTTTATGTGCATCTTTTTGTTAAATGATAATTATGTCAAAAATAAGTTGAGACTGTCTTAATTACTTTTTATGTGCTTTCAACCTTTGATTTTAACTTGCAAAATTGCTAATTGATACTATTGGTTTGTAAACTATTGCAGACAATTTTTCTTCTCCTACTCACATCCGGAAGAGATCCTGGCATTGTTCCTCGAAATCTACACCCTCCGGAACCAGATGATGAAGGTGATACCTCTAGTATGTCCACAGACTGGGCAGGAAGTCAGAGTGCTGCTCCAAGTTTACCACCTACAAAGGATGTTGTTGTTAATGGCATGATGGTTAGGATAAAATATTGCCGAACATGCATGCTATATCGCCCACCACGATGTTCACATTGCTCAATATGTAATAATTGTATTGAGCGCTTTGATCACCATTGCCCATGGGTAGGGCAATGTATTGGGAAGGTATGATCAGCTTAAATATATTTCTTTCTTGCACCCGAAAAAAAGAAGAAACAAAGATCTTAGTATCTTTGATCACTTGAATTCATTATGAATAAGATCAGGATAAAATACAAAAATATTAACATATTCATTGAGATTGAAAGTTGCTCAGTTTTGCAGCCAATTAATATGTTAGTTCTATCCAAAGTCGCATATGTTTTTTTTCAATGAGCCATGAAACTTTTGTTTAGGAAATTACAAATTTCTTATAAAAAAATCTTCGGGACTTCATATTTGTTATGACGAACCACAACCTTCTCGTAATAGACCCTTTAACTAGCTTGATACAATTAAAAGGTGTATACGGGTGGTAGTATAGAGGGATCATTGTTAAGTGCAATCATGAAGGCTCAGAATGACAAGATTAAAAAGCAAGGCTTGAGTCTAATGACAACTAGCTTGAGAAAACCCTTTTTACTAACTTGAGAAAATTCGTTTTACAAATGATTTGGCGATGTGAATGCTGAAATTACAAGCTTGAAAATTTCAGTGTGAGTTTGACAACAACTTTTTTACCCGCCCTCCTTTCAAAATGCGAGAACCTTGCTACTTTTTTCCACATCTGAAGTCAATAGGCTTACATCTACTTGGGCTATATTCGTGTAATGTTGACATGGATGTAAGATGGGTCAATTTGGAGTATGTGGGACTTTGCTATGACCCTAGCACAGTTGATATATACTACGTTAGCTGTGTCAATACATTTACTTGTGACACGATTAACCTAACATGAAAGAAATACTTTTTCTGCGAGACTTTTCCAATTGTGACATGTTTATTCTTGGTGGAAATGCTAAGTTTTGTATCCGTTGCCCCTTAAGTTGTGTCGTAAAAAATGGTGAAATATGTATAATTTACATATTGTAATAATTAATTTAATTAAGCTTCAGGAGATGATTTCTCTCAATAGACTTCACCGGTCAGGCTTCCAACATTGGATGCCTCCTATCCCTTTTAATTTCTATTTATGTAACATTTTTTAAACCATAAGCCTAACAGGTTCAACTGTCTGTTTGCAGAGGAATTACCGATCCTTTTTCATGTTCGTGTCCTCAACAACTGTCCTGTGCCTATATGTTTTTTCATTCTGCTGCATAAACATCAAGAAATTGATGGAAGAATACAATTGTGATATTTGGAAGGCTGTCATGGAGTCCCCTGTTTCAGGAGTGCTTATATTATATACATTTGTGGCTTCTTGGTTTGTTGGAGGTCTCACTACATTTCATCTCTACTTAATTTCCACTAACCAGGTATCTTTCATCTCTTCACACTTTACTGCAATATTATTTTATCCTATCCTTTTGTTCACCGCGTAATTTTTTAAATTTTTTTAACAGACAACGTATGAGAATTTCCGATATCGATATGATGGGAAGATGAATCCTTATAACCTGGGATGTGGGCGCAATATCCGGGAGATTTTTCTCTCCAAAACACCCAGTTCCAAGAACAACTTCCGGGCTAAGGTGAAGAGTGACTCATCTTCTATCTTCAGCACTTCAATGTCTTTGGCTCCACCTATAAGCCCAGAGATGCCCAAGACGAGTTTTGATATAGAGATGGGGAAACGACGAGCTGTTGATGCAGAGGAGTTTGAAGACATACAGAGCCAGATCGAGAGTATTGGTGGATTAGAGAGATGTGGGACCCTGCCAACACACACCAGCTTGAATCACAAAGGCAGCTGGGAAATCACACCTGACATACATATGCTGGCTGCCGAGTTTGGAATGGAACATGGTGTAAGTGAGAGAGAAGATTCATGAAGGTGGTCATTGTATTCTGTATATAGAAACTCCGGGATGGCGGGGAAAAGGGTTATTATCTTTTGATCCTGCCTACAAAATGAGTCACTAACCCAGCTCACGAAATTGTTTGTTGACATTGCTCGGAACTGGGCATAGATTCTCTCTTGGGAAGATCTGTTTGTGCTCTATTTTTGCTCGAGAGAAAGGAATGGGTTGATTTCGTCCTGACACGAAAAGGTACATGTAAGATGAACTGCTTGTGTCGTTATTCCGGGGCAAATGTTGTGGAAGTGTTTTTGTTTTGCTGGGGATCTGGGCCTTGGTTGATAATTCTCGATTTGTTGGTTACTGCTTGGAGCCTGCAGGAAAAAGGAAAACTGGGAGCCCTGAGTTCTAATTGAATCATTGGTAGTAGAGGAGTTAGATTAGTATGGGTTGTGGGATTTTAGTGCCTTATGTATCGAGGACCTGATTGATGCTGTTAGAAAATTGTTAATAAAATCTGAGGAAATTGAACTTTTTTTTGGTGAAAGAGGTTGATGAACATTGTTTTTTTCTTTCTTCCGACCATTGTTGTGATTGTTTGGAAATCATTCAAAGGCAAGAAGGCTGCGGAAGTGCTGTTGATGCTTCTTGGGGGTAGCTGGTATCCTAAATCAGAGATGGCAAGAAAATGGATTTGTTTTTATAATTATGAAATTACCTTTGTGTAAATGATTCTCTTTGTAATACTCTTTCTTTTGGAGGTGCATGTGGTCAGATTTTTAGATCTGAGGGGGCTATTTTGGCAGTTGGTTGTAAAGAGAACTGACTTCTTGTCTGCATGATGACCCATTATAAGATGAATCAAAAAACTCTCACCTAAGGTGTTGCAAGAGAAAAGTTCAATCACTTCCTGATGTATTTCAACTGTTGTTAATTACGTTCACGAGACTGGTAGGGCTGCAACTCGGGCGGGTTGGGCAGGTTCGAGGTATAAATTGAACCCAACCCACCATATAAAATGCTAAGTCCAAGTCCAACCCTAATCCTATTCTCAATTTTAATTACTCAACCCGAGCCCAATTCATCCTTCTACTTTTAAATTTGGGCTTACAACTCGGGGTTAGATTCCGGGTTAAACTTCGGGTTAATTTGAATTACTCATGTGGCTAATGTTTATGCTAACAATTTAATACAATCTTGAATTAGTTTTAGATTAAATTACTCTTAAAGAAGAAGAAGTTTAAAGACTTTTTGTAGATTTTTAATAAATTATAAACAAATTTTTAAAAAATTAATTCTCCTAAATGTTAATATACAATAAGATTTAACAAAAAAAGTTGAAAAGAAAAAAAGTAATCATAGTTAAAATATTATATATAATGTATTTAAAAGTAAAAATAAATAAATATATATAAAAATAATATTAGAATTCGGGTTCAGATTGACTCGAGTTGCAAGCACTTCAACCCAAGCCCAACCCTAATGTCACGACCCGACAATTCCAATAAAATTTTCAATTTATACAAAATCAGATACACCAAAATACACACAGGATCACAAAAAAATGTCCTCTTTTATACAAAGTCAGATTCCTCAAAAATATAAAAAAATTCTCCAAATAAAAAAATAAATCCTCCACGTTGACTCTTCATCCTAAGCCCGTTTCTAGCCATCCCGTTCATCTTCGGTACCTGAAATTGGAGGGTGGTGAGAAAAGTCCCAGTAGGAAAAATCATAACAAGAATTTCATGGAGGTTTAACAAAACAACTTCACAAAACATGCATAATCATGTGAGTATATAGACAAAATAAATATACATTTAATCAAAACATTTCATAAAACATTTAATCAAAACCTCCCCATGCCATTCAAGGTATAGAGAAACCTACACTGAAAAAAAGAATTCCTCGCTGGATCATCCAACTCCTCAAGCCTCCGGCCTCCTATGAAACTCAGCTCCTCTTTCTCTCTCAACTCTCTGTCTCGGCTTTCTTACTATTCTCTAATTTTCTCTAATTCACTCTTTTTCTCTGTATACTCATAATGTAGACACTACACTCAATAAATAGGCAAAACTAAAGACAAACCCACGTGAACCTGACAACCCAAATTAATTTTGACCACAAACCTCTTTTCGGCCAACTGCCCATTTCCTATCACATTTCTTACCCTTTTGAATTCTTTTCATTTCACACACAAGAAACACAATCTCACCAAATAAAGCCCACGTGAAGCCAAAGACAAATGGGACCCACACCATCATTACAATCCATCTTTATCTCTTTTTTCTCTCATCACCATAAGATACAATATATATATATATAGTTAGTATGTAGAAACAGCAAAGGTGGACGGGGAATAGAAATGGGTTTAGTATGTAGAAGCAGCAAAGGTGGACGGGGAATAGAAATGGGTTTGGTTTGGTTTTGTATATATATATATATATACTAAATATAAAATAACCACCACACTTCTAATAATAATAATAATAAATTAAAATCTAAAAAAAAAACAATCGGGTTATCACAATCTCCACCACTTAAAAAGAATTTCGTTCCCGAAATTCAAGTCTAACTGTCCGTATACCCGAAAACACCAATAACCACCCTTCCGTTGCGCCACTCTGATTCCAATAATCACAAAACCAATCCATAAATCCTTACCACAGGCGATGTGAGATACAGTAATATGTAGTACGTTGTGGTAGCTGACAGTGCTAGTTACCCACCCACACACTCCGTACCCGTTGCTATAGCTAGTCGATGCGTCACCCGCCCACTAAAAAAAATAACAAATCTGGGCTACCTGCCCAACCACACTAACCAACCATCGCAGTAGCTGCCGGTGAACGCCATCCGCCCACACACACCCGGCTACGAGTGGTAGCTCATTAGTGCTACACACTCGCCCACTCATACCCGTCTACATCATCACTACACTCACACTTCCGGCTAGGTACAGCTTTGATACCATTTTGTCACGACCCGACAATTCCAATAAAATCCTCAACTTATACAAAATCAGATACACCAAAATACACCTAGGATCACAAAAAAAAATTACTTTGAGGAATGGTCCGTGAGATTAGACGTGATGTTTAGGGTCGTCTTGTTCAGGAAAGTAAAAATTGGTTTCTGGGTCTTGAAGAAGGTAATTGATATCTTCCCCTCTAGGTTTGAGTCCAGTTAGAACACAAATGTCCCTAAGGGTTGGGGCCATCATCCCACAGCATAAATGTAACGAATTGGTGGTGGGTGACCAGAAGTGTAAAGATGCAAAAAATAGTGGTTTGTCTAGAGTAAAAGAAACCTTACTGAGTTGGATGAAGTCAAAGATGCCCATGCGCTTCCATAGATCACCTTTAGCCACAGACACAGGATCCACCCACTCATTCCATTGGGGCATGGGAGGATGCCAATTCTTGATTGATAGAGACGGTCTTTCACCTTCAGCAGTCTGATACACAGGTTTGAGAAAAAGAAGTTGGTTCTCCCCTTGAGGGTAAAAAGGAGACAGGGATGGAGGAAATCGATTGACAAATACTGGACTAAGACCCTTAGCATTATTTGCTAAATTGATAAGTGTGGTATTGTTCAGTTCAGAAGATGGTAGGGTTTTAAGGGTACTCTTGGTCATTTGGGTTTGAGATGTCGATGTTGGTATTGGAGATTCTAGATTAAGACCCGAGTGTTATTTTTTCAAAGACATATTGTAAAGGAAGAAAAGGGTTTTGATGGAGATGAGAGATTTTGGAAGAAGAGTTTGGCTAATACAGATATGTTTTGATAAATGAATTGTGGGTGGTTAGAAGAAGAAGAGTTTACGGCAGTATTAATTACGGATTAGATAGGTAATGTCAATCGGCAGTTTTTGGGAACTGATAACATGATGGGGTTCGGAATCTATATGGTGTATATGGGGTAAGCTACAATGGGTGCGTAGTTTAAACTTTTGGAAGCCTAAATTCCAAACGGCTACCAAAACTTGGGGGGCATTGTTGGCACCCATTTTGGTAATTTGGATCTGGGCTCTAATTGGGCTTGATAAACATTAACATAGTATCATGGGCCAAGAGTATATGGGCCTAATGAATGATGATGTTTAGACACTCGGGTTGCACAAAAATTGGGCTGAGGATGCAGTGATTAGTTCGGGTTTGGAAGTATGGCCTTAAAGCACTGGATTTGGGTTATAATTGGGCTGAAGGTGGTTCGGATCAGCAATTCAGTTGAAATAAAGCTTACCAGTGTTATACATGAATAAGGATTACAGGTAAAGGAACAGTGACGTGACAGGTTCTACACGGGGCAAAGCTGCACGCAAGGGCTCATTGATCGGATAGGAATATTTTTGAAATATTTTGAGACACTTTATGTTAGATAAGATTTATATGTTTACCAGATTTTAGTTATGAATTAATCTTTATCTAGGAATCTCAATTTGAGTTTAAATTTAGTAGTTAGTGAGAGTTTTATTGTAATTAGAATACTTATTGGTAGGAATTTGTTTACAACATTTTCTATAAATAAACTAAAGGGTACGCTGAGAAAAAGGTCCAGCACCCTCAGAATCTTTATTATTATTTGTTTACTTTCTCAAGCCTTTCTAAGAATAGTATCCTTGTTATTTCTTCTTTCTCCCTTCTATATTTCTCAATCTCTCGTTCTATCTATTTCTCTCTTTTCTTCTATCTTTATCTTTCTCTCTCTTTTCTTGCTATATCTATTTTCCTCCCCTTTCTATTCTCTTAATCTTTTACCAATAATTTATTCATTGAAAAGTCATTTTAACTAAGGCAATTCTTGAACTCTAAGAGGAGTATCACTGTTCTCTTTATCCTCGCATCGTCTGAAAGTCAACCCTCGAAAGAGACTACAGTTGACCAATTACAATCGAACCATACAATTGGTTCTAACATGTCCGTTTTCCATCAATATAAGATCGGATTTAACAAGCGATTTTAGCGTCAACAATTACATAGTTTGAAATTAGGGATAATTCCATAAAATGAAGTTTTGGGAGTTGAAGGACAAAAGAATGGAGTCAAAATTAAGTTTTTCAAATTAATGAAATTTTATAAAAGTCTCACGTGGACATGAAAATTTATTATACATCGTCTTTTTATTTCCAAAACACCCTTCTCTCATATTTAGAGAGAGAAACCCATCTATAGCAACCCTTCTTCTCAAACCTTCTTCTCAAATGAATAACCAACAATCCTATCTGTCATCTCTCTCTTTCACCCACCTTATCAACAAACCCATTTAAATAATAATAATAATAATAGCAAATAGTTTTCTCCAAAACAGTTTTTCCTCCAAACCCAATTTAAACCCAAAATCTATATCAAATAAAAGAAAAATCAAGATCCAAGCTGAGATTCAAAAACCCAACACAAAACATCATGAAAAAAACCAACACAATCCTCTGTAATGGTCAATCCACGGCTCGGCAATACAAAAGGTTGATGCAAATGCTTGTAGTTCTACAAGAAATCTTCAAGTGGGTCTGTGAAATCCAAGTCACACCATAAAAATTGGAATATTCACATCTTTCTCTATTTTTCTTAAAGGTTTATAGTATCAAAGTGGCAAATATCTACCTTTAAAAAAAAAAGTAGCAAATAGCTCTTAATTTCTAAGGTTGGTTGAACTTTGCGACGTCGGCGAGGGCTTGGGTGTAACTTCCGGCAATGCTGTCGACCATCCTAGCTCTGCCACGTCATTTTTTGGTGATTTTGATGGTGTATTTCGGGAATTTAAGGAAGGAGGAGCTGTTCGAGAAAGAAAGTTTAAGAGGATTGACAGAGATGGGTTTCTCTCTCTAGATATGAGAGGGTAGTAGCATAATTTCATAACAACTATAGAAGGATATTTTGAGAATAAAAAGATGATGTACAATAATTTTCCATGTCCAGGTCAAACTTTTTAAAAATTTTATTAATTTGAAAATTTTAATTTTGACTTTATTCTTTTGTGCTTTAACCCTCAAAACTCAATTTTTATAGAATTATCCCTTGAAATTATATGATTCGGTGTAAACAAAATTAAAATAAAATTAATAAATTTATTTGCTTGTCTTATTATTATTGACCAATACATGTCAAATTTTTATCCAACAAGTAAGATGCCTGTGGCTAGCATCCCCTTTGGAATTGAATTGTAGACGCGTTCCGTGAAGGAAAATAATGTTCTGCCCGCACTAGACTTCATCTGAAGTCTTCGACTCCAATAGCATGGTGCTTCTTGGAATGTCGATTAATGGTTTCCAGGAAAGAGAAAGGAAAATTCCTTCTCTTCTCCGCTATAAGTGCAGGATATATCCAGTTAACCATTCATTTGATCCATCTTATAGTTTCCAAAATGAAAAAATCCGAGAGTGAAATCTCCTCCTCTACCTCACGAACTTATGAATAAAATGTATTCTTGGAATTTTCATTCATTTGAAAATTTTGATTTTGACTTTATTCTTTTGTGCTTTAACCCTCAAAACTCAATTTTTATAGAATTATCCCTTGAAATTATATGATTCGGTGTAAACAAAATTAAAATAAAAATTAATAAATTTATTTGCTTGTCTTATTATTATTGACCAATACATGTCAAATTTTTATCCAACAAGTAAGATGCCTGTGGCTAGCATCCCCTTTGGAATTGTATCGTAGACGAGTTCCGTGAAGGAAAATAATGTTCTGCCTGCACAAGACTTCATCTGAAGTCTTCGACTCCAATAGCATGGTGCTTCTTGGAATGTCCATTAATGGTTTCCAGGAAAGAAAAAGGAAAATTCCTTCTCTTCTCCGCTATAAGTGCAGGATTTTGACCATTCATTTGATCCATCTTATAGTTTCCAAAATGACAAAAACCGAGAGTGAAATCTCCTCCTCTACCTCACGAACTTACGAATACGATGTATTCTTGGAATTTTCATTCCTTTGAAAATTTTGATTTTGACTTTATTCTTTTGTGCTTTAACCCTCAAAACTCAATTTTTATAGAATTATCCCTTGAAATTATATGATTTGGTGTAAACAAAATTAAAATAAAATTAATAAATTTATTTGCTTGTCTTATTATTATTGACCAATACATGTCAAATTTTTATCCAACAAGTAAGATGCCTGTGGCTAGCATCCCCTTTGGAATTGTATCGTAGACGCGTTCCGTGAAGGAAAATAATGTTCTGCCTGCACTAGACTTCATTTGAAGTCTTCGACTCCAATAGCATGGTGCTTCTTGGAATGTCCATTAATGGTTTCCAAGAAAGAAAAAGGAAAATTCCTTATCTTCTCCGCTATAAGTGCAGGATTTTGACCGTTCATTTGATCCATCTTATAGTTTCCAAAATGAAAAAATCCGAGAGTGAAATCTCCTCCTCTACCTCACGAACTTACGAATACGATGTATTCTTGGAATTTTCATTCATTTGAAAATTTTGATTTTGACTTTATTCTTTTGTGCTTTAACCCTCAAAACTCAATTTTTATAGAATTATCCCTTGAAATTATATGATTCGGTGTAAACAAAATTAAAATAAAATTAATAAATTTATTTGCTTGTCTTATTATTATTGACCAATACATGTCAAATTTTTATCCAACAAGTAAGATGCCTGTGGCTAGCATCCCCTTTGGAATTGTATCGTAGACGCGTTCCGTGAAGGAAAATAATGTTCTGCCTGGACTAGACTTCATCTGAAGTCTTCGACTCCAATAGCATGGTGCTTCTTGGAATGTCCATTAATGGTTTCCAAGAAAGAAAAAGGAAAATTCTTTCTCTTCTCCGCTCTAAGTGCAGGATTTTGACCATTCATTTGATCCATCTTATAGTTTCCAAAATGACAAAATCCGAAAGTGAAATCTCCTCCTCTACCTCACGAACTTACGAATACGATGTATTCTTGGAATTTTCATTCCTTTGAAAATTTTGATTTTGACTTTATTCTTTTGTGCTTTAACCCTCAAAACTCAATTTTTATAGAATTATCCCTTGAAATTATATGATTCGGTGTAAACAAAATTAAAATAAAATTAATAAATTTATTTGCTTGTCTTATTATTATTGACCAATACATGTCAAATTTTTATCCAACAAGTAAGATGCCTGTGGCTAGCATCCCCTTTGGAATTGTATCGTAGACGCGTTCCGTGAAGGAAAATAATGTCCTGCCCGCACTAGACTTCATCTGAAGTCTTCGACTCCAATAGCATGGTGCTTCTTGGAATGTCCATTAATGGTTTCCAAGAAAGAAAAAGGAAAATTCCGTCTCTTCTCCGCTATAAGTGCAGGATTTTGACCATTCATTTGATCCATCTTATAGTTTCCAAAATGAAAAAATCCGAGAGTGAAATCTCCTCCTCTACCTCACGAACTTATGAATACGATGTATTCTTGGAATTTTCATTCATTTGAAAATTTTGATTTTGACTTTATTCTTTTGTGCTTTAACCCTCAAAACTCAATTTTTATAGAATTATCCCTTGAAATTATATGATTTGGTGTAAACAAAATTAAAATAAAATTAATAAATTTATTTGCTTGTCTTATTATTATTGACAAATACTTGTCAAATTTTTATCCAACAAGTAAGATGCCTGTGGCTAGCATCCCTTTTGGAATTGTATCGTAGACGCGTTCCGTGAAGGAAAATAATGTTCTGCCTGCACTAGACTTCATTTGAAGTCTTCGACTCCAATAGCATGGTGCTTCTTGGAATGTCCATTAATGGTTTCCAAGAAAGAAAAAGGAAAATTCCTTATCTTCTCCGCTATAAGTGCAGGATTTTGACCATTCATTTGATCCATCTTATAGTTTCCAAAATGAAAAAATCCGAGAGTGAAATCTCCTCCTCTACCTCACGAACTTACGAATACGATGTATTCTTGGAATTTTCATTCATTTGAAAATTTTGATTTTGACTTTATTCTTTTGTGCTTTAACCCTCAAAACTCAATTTTTATAGAATTATCCCTTGAAATTATATGATTCGGTGTAAACAAAATTAAAATAAAATTAATAAATTTATTTGCTTGTGTTACTATTATTGACCAATACATGTCAAATTTTTATCCAACAAGTAAGATGCCTGTGGCTAGCATCCCCTTTAGAGTTGTATCGTAGACGCGTTCCGTGAAGGAAAATAGTGTTCTGCCCGCACAAGACTTCATCTGAAGTCTTCAACTCCAATAGCATGGTGCTTCTTGGAATGTCCATTAATGGTTTCCATGAAAGAAAAAGGAAAATTCCTTCTCTTCTCCGCTATAAGTGTAGGATTTTGACCATTCATTTGATCCATCTTATAGTTTCCAAAATGAAAAAATCCGAGAGTGAAATCTCCTCCTCTACCTCACGAACTTACGAATACGATGTATTCTTGGAATTTTCATTCATTTGAAAATTTTGATTTTGACTTTATTCTTTTGTGCTTTCCCTCAAAACTCAATTTTTATAGAATTATCCCTTGAAATTATATGATTCGGTGTAAATAAAATTAAAATAAAATTAATAAATTTATTTGCTTGTCTTATTATTATTGACCAATACATGTCAAATTTTTATCCGACAAGTAAGATGCCTGTGGCTAGCATCCCCTTTGGAATTGTATCGTAGACGCGTTCCGTGAAGGAAAATAATGTTCTGCCTGGACTAGACTTCATTTGAAGTCTTCGACTCCAATAGCATGGTGCTTCTTGGAATGTCCATTAATGGTTTCCAGGAAAGAAAAAGGAAAACTCCTTCTCTTCTCCGCTATAAGTGCAGGATTTTGACCATTCATTTGATCCATCTTATAGTTTCCAAATTGACAAAATCCGAGAGTGAAATCTCTTCCTCTACCTCATGAACTTACGAATACGATGTATTCTTGAAATTTTCATTCCTTTGAAAATTTTGATTTTGACTTTATTCTTTTGTGCTTTAACCCTCAAAACTCAATTTTTATAGAATTATCCCTTGAAATTATATGATTCGGTGTAAACAAAATTAAAATAAAATTAATAAATTTATTTGCTTGTCTTATTATTATTGACAAATACATGTCAAATTTTTATCCAACAAGTAAGATGCTTGTGGCTAGCATCCCCTTTGGAATTGTATCGTAGACGCGTTCCGTGAAGGAAAATAATGTTCTGCCTGCACTAGACTTCATCTGAAGTCTTCGACTCCAATAACATGGTGCTTCTTGGAATGTCGATTAATGGTTTCCAGGAAAGAAAAAGGAAAATTCCTTCTCTTCTCCGCTATAAGTGCAGGATTTTGACCATTCATTTGATCCATCTTATAGTTTCCAAAATGACAAAATCCGAGAGTGAAATCTCCTCCTCTACCTCACGAACTTACGAATACGATGTATTCTTGGAATTTTCATTCCTTTGAAAATTTTGATTTTGACTTTATTTTTTTGTGCTTTAACCCTCAAAACTCAATTTTTATAGAATTATCCCTTGAAATTATATGATTCGGTGTAAACAAAATTAAAATAAAATTAATAAATTTATTTGCTTGTGTTACTATTATTGACCAATACATGTCAAATTTTTATCCAACAAGTAAGATGCCTGTGGCTAGCATCCCCTTTGGAATCGTATCGTAGACGCGTTCCGTGAAGGAAAATAATGTTCTGCCCGCACTAGACTTCATCTGAAGTCTTCGACTCCAATAGCATGGTGCTTCTTGGAATGTCCATTAATGGTTTCCAGGAAAGAAAAAGGAAAATTCCTTCTCTTCTCCAGTATAAGTGCAGGATTTTGACCATTCATTTGATCCATCTTATAGTTTCCAAAATGACAAAATTCGAGATTGAAATCTCCTCCTCTACCTCATGAACTTACGAATACGATGTATTCTTGGAATTTTCATTCATTTGAAAATTTTGATTTTGACTTTATTCTTTTGTGCTTTAACCCTCAAAACTCAATTTTTATAGAATTATGCCTTGAAATTATATGATTCGGTGTAAACAAAATTAAAATAAAATTAATAAATTTATTTGCTTGTCTTATTATTATTGACCAATAGCATCCCCTTTGGAATTGTATCGTAGACGCGTTCCGTGAAGGAAAATAATGTTCTGCCTGCACTAGACTTCATCTGAAGTCTTCGACTCCAATAGCATGGTGCTTCTTGGAATGTCCATTAATGGTTTCCAGGAAAGAAAAAGTAAAATTCCTTCTCTTCTCCGCTATAAGTGCAGGATATATCCAGTTAACCATTCATTTGATCCACCTTATAGTTTCCAAAATGACAAAATCCGAGAGTGAAATCTCCTCCTCTACCTCACGAACTTACGAATACGATGTATTCTTGTCTTTCCGGGGCGGAGATACTCGCCGTAACTTTACTGACCACCTACACTACGCGTTGGTGGAGCACTGGTTCACCACGTTCAGAGGCGACTTGTCACTCAGAAGAGGAGAAGAGATTGGGCCCGAATTGCTGAAAGCCATCGAGAATTCAAGGCTCTCCATCATCATATTCTCCAGAAACTATGCGGACTCAAGATGGTGCCTCCAAGAGCTTGTGAAGATCATGGAGTGCAGGAGGACTTTGAAACAGATTGTTCTTCCTGTTTTTCATTACGTAGATCCGACCGACGTCCGGAAACAGAGGGGAACATACGCTGAAGCATTTGCCAACCACCAACAGCGTTACGGAGACGCCCAGGTTCAGGAGTGGAGAGCTGCTTTGACTGAGGCTGCCAATTTGTCCGGTTGGGACTTGCTTAACCGGTAATTTTATTTTTTTATTTATTTAATTTTCTCTTTTACCAAAATTTAAATACGTAATCTGACTCCTAACTGATAAACTTTTTCAAATTTAGAATTTCTTCACCAATTAAGGTGCCGTTTGATAAAACTGAAAATTAAATACATAAAATTTTAAGGACTGAATTTTAAGCGTTCAAATTTGAAGTACTATGATTAAGTTTATCCATATTGTTCCATCAAAGTTACTAAATGCACGTCTCCAGAGGAAAAAAAAAACACTGAATTGTGACACGAAAATATATTTGCAGGCATGAGTCAGAGGAAATTCGAAGTATCATTAAAACGGTAGCAGATAGATTAAATCGTGACTTATTCGAAATTATTGAAAGTGTTTTTGATAAATTGAAACAAGATGTGACCATCATTGAAGCACTAGAAGACTGTGCTGAAACAGTTGGTGAAACGGTTGGTGAAATTATTGATGATGTTTCTAATTTACTGGATTCTGATACTTCTTCTGATTCTGATAGTGTGGATGATGCATTAGATAGTCTGAAGGAGGAGTGGAATAAGTTCTGGGATTCTTCTTGATATTCTGTTATTCTTTGGGATTTTGTTGTCCTCATGTCTTTTCCTCTTTTGCTTTAGTTTTTCAGTTGGTCAATTCTTTATGGTTAAATCCATTTAAGTGACAATATTAGTGAATTTATTGTTATTGTTTTTATATTGGCTAGCAATTTTACATTTATTAGAGTGAATGGATTGTTGAAGATTAAAAATTGGTAGCTAGTTCCAATGTACTAATTATTAAAAGAAATGGTTAACTGCCAAAAGTCCTTCTCAACTTACATGGCTTTGCAAATACTCTGGATAATGATGCCACTAACCCCTCAACTATTTCAACTTGGAATAAGACATACATCTAATTACAAACATACTTTAATTACATACTTCTAATATAACCTCCAAATCAAAATTTGTGGCTCTCCAAATTTGGCAATACTTAGAATCTATATTCTGAGCTTAGATTGAGACCTTCTTGTCTCTCCCTCACTCTCTTCACTGATTAAATAAATATAAAAAAATCCTTTTGATGATCAAATTGCTGATACAATCACGAACGTTCTTTCTTTGCTATAAGTGTCTGGCTATCGATCCGTCCCTTGCTCGCCTCACAAACTCTTTTTGTTCAATTCATCATTTTTACATTAGCAAATATTATAATTTTCTTCTAAATGCCTAACACATCTCAAAAATACTAGTCCAATTTTTCTTGTCTGCAATAGTTACCTAGCAAATGAAAAAATAAAGTGAGTATATCTCCACTGGTCACACACATATATTAATCAATCATTAAAATTTAATGAGCCTTCAAAGTACGTATACCGTGTTTTTTTCAAGCTCAGTTCCAAATTTTTGAAAATGACCTCAAATTGAATCCCATCATAATAGTTGCATTACAACAAGAAGCACATGTAGAGAATATAAGTCAAACATTACCCAATTGTCCACAGCATGTGTCAGTGAACAATGAAGTAATGTAAGTCCGAAAAATGATTACTTTTTTTCAAACCTAGTTCCAAAATTTGAAAGATGATGTCAAATTGAATCCAACATAGCAGTTGCATTACACAACAAGAAGCACATGCACATAACAGCAGTAAAATATTACCCAATTGTCAACATCTAAAAAATTGAGAAGTATTATAATTTTGTTTTGGGGGTTGGGGATCCAAAGAAGCTGAAAAAATATGTTGGCTATGCGTGGAACAAAATTAGATGGGGGGTCTTGACTTTATAGACATGGGTGCTTGTAATACAGTTCTTCTTGCCAAACAAGGGTGACTTGTAAAGCCCAAACACAACAAAAATTAGTTGAACTTGGAATTGTGGTAGAAATTATTATTACTTCATATGCAAATTTCAAATGTGTTTGAAATTGAAATAATTGGAGGAAAGGAAAAAAGAGAGTATATTGGTTCAAATTTTGTTTTAAAGGTATATATATAGATATATAAACTCTCTTTTTTTTATTATCATTTCCGGAGTGTGTTTGATTATTTGGGTTCTTAAAAATTAGCAAATAATATACCTAAAGAAGTAGGCTATCTAGGGGAATGTTTCAATACATGGATGGTTTATCTTTTTTAAAGCCCAGATTTTTTAGTTTTTAGTTTTGGGTAAGGTTTTTTTAAGCTCGGATTATGCATGCTCTATATGGACTTTGCTCCTCAAGATATTCTTGAATTATGAAATGTGGTTGAGCATGATAGATTTTAAATTTTCTAATAGCTCAAAATGCAAGGAAAATCGACTACTTCAGTTTCATATATTAACAAGGGCAATCGTCATTTCTGCATTTTCAAAAAGTTATTATGATAACCAAGATACAAATTAGATACTCAAAGCCAAAGGTATGTAAATATAATTAATTTGGTAAAAAAAAAAAATGTACGTAATGACTCTAAAAATACAAATGCTACAAATTTTTTTTGCCATTGTTTACAACAATCCTGATTCTAATGGGGAGTCTCCATGGATGCCTGGTAGTGATAAAAGAGAAGAAAAGTAATGACAGGTATACTGGATGCGTCATTGTTAGGTATTAATTATTTTCCCGTAGGACTTGAGAGGACTGTAATCACCAAACAAGAAAAAGAGGCCCAAAAAAAAGTAAAGACTCTAAAGGAACAACACCACAAACAGAAGCAAAACTCATTGTTTTACTTAATAAGCACAAAAATAATTCAACAAATTATACAAACCAAATGATATATAATTGAATGAAGTCAATTAAATAAGAACAGATCAAGAGAAATCAATCATAAAGATCACAAGATTGGAGTTTGAGGTGAAACTTTAAAAAAAAACACGAAAAAAAAAAATTAAGGTTTAAAAAAAGTTTCATTGCAAGTTAAACAAAGGCTAAAATCATATAATATTCCTCTAATCTGTCGATTTTGAATGACAAGAGTCGAAGAAATCAGTCAAAAACATGAATACAGAAGGTAAAAGTATATGAAATATTAGGGTTTCTAAAAAAATTCGAAGAACTTTCAATAAAACTCCAAAATAATTTATGTACTTTTTTGAAATTTTGATAAAGACTCTAAAGCAACAACACCACAAACTTAAGCAAAACTCATTGTTTTACTCAATAAGCACAAAAATAATTCAACAAATTATACAAACCAAATGATATATAATTGAATGAAGTCAATTAAATAAGAACAGATCAAAAGAAATCACTCAGAAAGATCACAAGATTGGAGTTTGAGGTGAAACTTTAAAAAAAAAAAAAAAAACACAGAAAAAAAAAAAAAAAGGTTTCAAAAAAGTTTCATTTTAGGTTAAACAAAGGCTAAAATCATATAATATTCCTCTAATCTGTCGATTTTGAACGACAAAAGTTGAAGAAATCAGTCAAAAACATGAATACCGAAGGTAAAAGTACATGAAATATTAGGGTTTCTAAAAAAATTCGAAGAACTTTCAATAAAACTCCAAAATGGAACACCATATGAGGATTTCCAACCACAAAACTTAAATAACAACTCAAAAACAGCCATAATGTTGCATTTATTCGAATAAACTCAAACCAAATGGTCAAACCTGGCATGCTCTTCAAAAATAAGAGGAAAATAGCAAAGATCCTTGAAGGTTTTGAGCGAAAATAGTATGGTGAGCATCGATGGGTCGTCGATTTCTAGCCAAACAATCACAAATAGTTGAGTCGCCCAAAATCACCAAAGAGAAGCTATGGGTATAAACCTTAGAAAATGAGCAATTTTGCCTTTTATACGTGGATTACATGTTTCCTCCACTATAGTTTAATGGCCCAAATTGTTTCCTCCACTACAGTAATATGTGTAGCCCAAACAATACAGAAACAAGCTAAAACACCTAAATGGTGTTTCATGTTTTCGGCCCTTTTTTGACATTGTTTTGCAACTGTTTAAAACAAAACAAGCTCAGCCAAACATGTTTTGGCCTTGAAATGAGCTACTGTAGCAGGCCTTCAACAAAAACATGGTAAAACAAAACAGATGCGAAATAGGCCCTAAGAGCTTAATTTTATGTGCTTTGATTAGCTCGGGTGCAGTATGAGCGTGGAGGAGTGAATTTTTTAAGTGTTTAGTGCCCTTGCATGGATTCATGTTCAAAATTTTCAAACTTCAAACCCTCAGTTGAGGTGCATGCATACATATATATACATACAATAAATAATTGTAATAACAGAAAATATTTTGGCTTCAAAGAGAGAGATCCCATCGTGCATGCTGCCCTAACTATTCACATTAGCATTCCGGATTCAAGAGAAGTAAGTCATCAACGTCCCTCAAAGACTCCCAACTTTTCGACACTCGAGTTGTTTTGAGTTTGAAAAATTGGAAGCCTTTGAGGGAGATTGGTAACTCCTCCAATATTCACGAGGCTTTGAAATGTTACTGCATGCTCTGCGCACACTCGAAATCGATCTCCTTTGCTTTCAGGAATAATCCTTCAACCTCCAGCTAGCTCTCGGACTGCCAATTTTCCGGCATCCAATTAAGGACAGTAAAATTGGAAGCCATTGAGAGGGAGATTGAAAACCTCTTCATTCAGCTGCCTGTAACTTGCACATGTTAATCATTATGGACAATGCTACACCAAGCAACAAATCTGAGTGTGGTTTATATAGAGATTGATTATCAATCAAGTGGACTTTAATTCCACGCGAATCTCATGCTCGATCAGCCTCATGATCTTATCTGATCGAAGCTAGAAAAAGTGGTTTAATTTGTAGCATTATTCAGTACTAGAAAGGTTCTACAAGGATGGAAGTTTCGATCAGCTTATGAGCGAACCAGAACACCTAGGTGCTCTCATCGTACGTGTCAAATAATTAATTTGCATGCACTATAGTTTCAAATTCTCGGGAATATTGACTTTTATATATATCCTGAATTAATTGACTCATCATGTACAACAGTGGCAAGGAGAATGTCAATTATGGGAGAATTGATTCCCCACATTGATACTAGCTATCTGATAGAGGTTAGCCATGTTTGTGTGTGGTTATTTATTTATTTATTTATTTTTTTTTTTTTTTTGTGATGATGGTAGTGTTGGACAACTTAAAACACTTCATCATTTACCTGTGAACTTTTATAGTCTTTCTATTTCATATGTACCGACAATTACCGAAAAAATTCCACAAGAGTGACTAAGAGTGGAACTCAACATAATATTGGGCGCATCTCCTGGTTGTTTCTATTGGGCTAAGGCTGTCGAATTGGCCCTAAAGAAAATTTTCAAAAATAATTATTTGAGTTACCAATGTCATCTAATTAATTGGAGATGACTAGTCGAGGTTGATATATAAATTTTTTACTTGAAATTTATTTCTCTTCTAAACAGTGTATGCGAGTACCAACTCGAACCATTTTCACTTTAATACACTATCAATATTGGTGAATATTGCCATAATTAAGTAAGATCCATCTATCAGGTGAGACTTATTATGTCCGGTGCCAATCACCACCATTAATTGGTGCACCACTCCAATCCAAGAGAAAATTTTAACTCAAGTGAGTATTGGTGTTTGTATATGAGGATCGATGCTGCTCAACTTTCTCGAGAGTCTAATACCAAGTTTTTTCATATTTTTTCAAACTTTTTAAACTTCAATAATTTAAGGGGTTAAATGCAGAAAAACCCCTGTAATATAGGTTATGTGCACAATGCATTCTTCCTTTTTGAAAATGTGCATTTCAATGCATAAAATTAAAAAAAAATGCAAATAAGCCCCTCTGATAACTTTTTGATCAAAATTGACATAAAATAAATTTAAAAACCCTAATTTACCCTTTTTCTCATATCACCAAGATCAAAGAATATGTTTTCTTTTCTTTTCTTTTCTTTTCTTTTTCTTTTCTTTTTTTTTATTTTTTACTTTTAGTATGAATCATATTAAATGCAAATATTTATTTCTTTAAGTCAAAGATTATACGAATGCTTTACAGTTTTGGTGTTAGTATCAAACATATTAAATATAAATATTTATTTTTGTACGTCACATATATGAATACAAAATAATTTGGTTTTTAATACTAATCATATTAAATGTAAATATATTTTTTTTAGGTATGATATTATATGATTATTATACAGATATAATTTCATATTTTATGTAATGCTTTCAAATTATTTGTTTATTCTTCCTAATAAATTTTGGTAAGGAATTTCTAATTTTTCAATTATACATATAAAATCATTTACTTTTACTTTTTCAAATATGTTCTTTAGTTTTTTTTATTATTATTATTTGGTCTATGATGAAACAAAATATAACATTTATATAATATAGTTATGTTATTTTTCATAAAAAAAACTGGTCTCCACTATTGTTTCACACTACTTTGATTAACATAAAAAATAAACATAATTTATATAAACTTTTTCTAAATAGTAATTTTTTTTGTAAAAAAAATTATTTCTTAAAAACTCTTTGGTTCCTGCATCATTTTTTATCTGCCATGGATTATTGCCACATAGAGATGTAGGAGTATTTTTAAGGGTATATTTGTCACAAAAATGTTAACTTTTTGGGTGAGTTTGAGAATTGTCTAAAATAGTAATTTTACATTGCCTAGTCTTTTTAATATTATTTCATTTTATTGACAAGAGGGTATTATAGTCTTTTTATGCAAATAGGGGGTATTTACACCAAATTGTTAGCATAGGAGAGTTTTATACTAGACACGAATATTTTTGCACTATATTAATAGTAGAGAAAGATTTTTTGCACTTAACCCTAATTTAAATAGACTAAAAAAATCAAATACTAATAATAAAATGACTCAATCTACATTTTTGTTATGTGTGTGATCATGGTACATATATTTTGTTTGACCCCCATGATATACAAGATTTGTGCAAAACAAGTTCCTATTTTTTTAAAATGTGCATGTTAATCTATAAAATTCAAAAAAGATGTAAATAAGTCATTCTAACCACTTTTTGACAAAAACTAAATATGAAAATCTTATTTTACCCTTTTGATTCCCAATTTGCCCCTCACCCATTAGTGCACTGAATGGCTCAGCTCGTCGGAGATGTGACCGAATTCTCGTCAAAAAATTCACCGGAATCGAATTTTTGCCGGAGAAAACGCGTGGGGCGCATGTCAATATTGCTGACACTTGGTTTGCACAAAGTAATCAAGATCCAATCCATTATTCTAAATTTTTTCAAGTCTTTAACTATATAAAAATAATAATAATAATAATAAAATAAGCACATTCTAAAAAAGTAACTGCCAAATTTCTAAGCTATCAATCATTCATATATCCATGTTTTTTTTTTTTTTTTTTTTTTCTGGTTCCTGTCCAACAACATATATATATATGGTTTTTTTTTTTTAGTTCAATCTTCAATCAAAATAAGAAAGAGAGGCAAAGAATGTGTGAGTGAGTGACTGGCCAAATATATAGAGTTTGATTCGGGGAGAATATTAAAAGGTTTAGAAGGGATATAAAAAAGGTATTAGGAATAAACGTATAATTTTAGAATAAGATGGAATATATTCACCTTATTTTAGTCAGGAACAAATGGAAACAAATTTTTTTTTTTTCTTCATAAAATGGGTCTTTTGAGAACATGTTTCCAAAAATTAAAATTAAAAATAAAAATAAAATTACCAAACATGATTATTAGACTTATTTATACAGTATTTTCTAGCATTTTAGAAGCAAGAAACATGAAATTGAAACATAACCAAAGGAACCCAAACTTTTCAAACATACTTTCACTACGTAGTTCTAATTTGATCTCCAAATCAAAATTTGTGGCTTTCCAAATTTGCCAGTACTTAAAATCTATATTCTGGGCTTAGATTGAGACCTTGTTGCTCTCCCTCACTCTCTCCACTGATTAAAACAAAAAATCCTTTTGATGATCAAGTTGCTGATACAATCATGACTCGCCTATATTGTCAAAGGTCAATGTGGTCCATTTTTTTTTTTGTTTTTTGATTTTTTATTTATTTTTATTCAACTCACCAATCCAAACGAAACATTTAGCTACGTTTGGTGTGCTGGAATAGAATGTCCATTATAAAAATTCATTTGTTTGGTGCGCAGGAATGAAATGGAATGAAAATCCATTCCATTATTGAACCTATCCAATCACTATTCCATTCCATAGTAAGATTAAATATTTTTATAATATTTCCAATAACCCCTTCTTCACATTCGAATAAAGCAAAAATATTTCGCATAGATCAAAAATCTTTCAAATTCCATTTTTCACGTTTCTCGAATTTCTTTATTAGACGTGGTAAAGGTCTTTCACCTTCCCTCTCTTCTAAATATATCCAGAACTGCCATTGACATAAAGTTACAAAACCTTTAACCATATTATATATTATTGAGATTGATATATCATTATATATATATATATATATATTACCCTTTATATCGAAATATTAATTAGAATGATTTTATTAAAAAGTAATGAAAAGGATATTTTTAAAAAAAATGTTTCCATTCCAAATTTAATCGATAGTCAACCAAACAATAGAGTAGTAATATTCATTTTATTCCATAACAATTTACCGTACCACACTAAACATTAAATTGGTAATACTCATTTCATTTCTTTTTTATTCTATTTCAAATTACATTTTATTTCATTACTGCATACTAAACATAGTCTTAAAATCCACAAATTATCCCCGTCTCACTTTCGGGCGTATTTGAAAAAGTGGTTGTATGATTAGGTTTATTTCTATTTCATTTGGATGCTTCCTCGAAGGTAGTGGTGTTGTGGATTGGAGTTGTATGGTAATAATGGTAGACGCGCTTCACACTGATTTGGAAAGAAATTTTATTATAAGACGCAGTCAACGATAATTAATTATGGGAGACACACCCATTGATAATACAAAAGTAGTCGCCCGATTCTCGAACAATCATAAATTATAAATTAATAGATGATCAGAAATTATATTAGTGATTAAATAATGCCGGTAATGGAATTCATTCCTAATGAATGATTCAATTACTGAGAAATCTTATAATGTATTGTATAAACTTTTCGATCTGGTCCATCTTGAGAAAGTCGGTTTGTATTAGTGCTTAAATAATCCCATGTTATGATTCATTAAAATAAAGAAATTTCAATTAATTAATTGATGGCAATGAATTTCCCAGAAGAGGGAATGGGGAAGACGACTTGGGCTGAAGTCTTGGGTTCGAAGTCGTCCCTGGAACTTCCATTGACGTTGCGAGGAAAGAGAAAGGAAAACTCGTTCTTTCTTTGCTATAAGTGTCTGGCTATCGATCCGTCTCACAAACTCTCTTTGTTCAATTCATCATTTTTACAGTAGTTTCGAGAATGGCTTCTTCGGATAGTGAACTTTCCTGGCTTGAAGAGCCCCCTTCTTCTTCCTCACGGACTTACGAATACGACGTCTTCTTGTCTTTCCGGGGCATTGATACTCGCGATAACTTTACGGACAAACTTTACAAAGCCTTGGAGGAGAATGGATGCTCAACATTCAAAGACGACATCGAACTCAGAAGAGGAGAAGAGATTGCCACCGAATTGCTGAACGCCATCGATGAATCAAAGCTCTCCATCATCGTATTCTCCGAAAACTACGCGTCCTCAAAATGGTGCCTTGAAGAGCTTGTGAAGATCATGGATTGCAGGAGGACTTCCAGACAGATTGTTCTCCCTGTTTTTCATGGCGTGGATCCCTGCGACGTCCGGCGTCAACGGGGATCATACGCTCAACCATTTGCCAGGCACCAGGCGCGTTACAGTCACGGCCAGGTTCAGAGGTGGAGAGATGCGTTGACTGAGGTTGCCAATTTGTCGGGTTGGCACTTTCAAGACGGGTACGGATAATAATTTTTTTCTCAAATTTTGAGTATTTGAATTTGTGACTTTCACATACACATTTTGAGTATTTAAGAATTTGCAGGGATGAGTCGGAGCTAATTGAAAATATCGTTGAAGTGGTCGCAATTAGATTAGATCCTTCGTTATTAAATGTTGCGGACTATCCAGTTGGAGTACAATCTCGTGTTGAAAACCTCATGGAGCTGCTAGACTTGGAGTCAAATGATGTTCGAATTATTGCAATTTCGGGAATGACGGGAATAGGCAAGACTACAATTGCTAGAGCAACGTATAATCTTATACATCATAAGTTTGACGGCAGTTGTTTTCTTAAAAATGTTGGAGAAACTTGGAAGCAAGACGACGGCCATGTTGAATTACAGAAAAAGCTTCTTTCTGATTTGCTACTAGATAAAAAGCAAAGCATAAGAAATCTCGATCACGGAATTGAGGTAATAAAACGTCATGCATGGTGTCGAAAGGTTCTTCTCATTCTGGATGATGTGGACGACGCACACCAATTGAGGGCATTAGCCATAAATCATGATTTGCTACGTCCTGGAAGTAGGGTCCTGGTAACAACTAGGGATGTGTCTTCGCTAAGTCCGTTTCAAGTGAATGACATTTACGAGGCCGAGGTGCTGAGTGAGAAGGAGTCTCTACAACTCTTTGGTTGGCATGCCTTCAAGTCGTATGATATTTTCGATGGCTATAAGATGCTCTGTAAGGAAGCAGTGGCTTATGCTAAGGGGATTCCTTTACTTCTTCAAACATTAGGTTTCTTTTTGTCAGACAAAGTAGTACAAGAATGGGGTAGTGAATTGGAGAAAGTTGAGAAATTTCTCGATGATGTTGATTCACTCGAAGCTGAACAAATTGTTGAACTTTTTGTTGATGAATTTGGTCCAGATTTGCCTATCAGTACGTTAGAAAGATACGCTCAAAAAGTTGAAAACTTTATCCAGGATTTTTCTGATTTTTTGGATCTTGATGGTATAGATTCTGATAGTCTGGATGATGTTGATTCACTCGATGCTGAAGAAATTGTGTCCGATTGATTCTTCTTGTTGTAAAACGTTCACTTGTTAGTCATATTCTGTTATTAATTGCTTCGTATTTTAGTTAAATCTATTTGAGTTATTATTATTTTATATTAGCTAGCAGTTTTTGATTTTTTTTTTTTTTGTCTTAACAAATGGTTAATTGCTGTAAGTCCTCAACTTTCACGGTTTTGCAAATATTATATGGTGAATGGGGCATGCAACTGACCTTCTCAACTATTTTAAAGATGTACGATGCATGTATAATCTAACCCACTATTTTATTCCCGTAAGAAATAAAAAATAAATAAAAAGAACACTGGTTGTAAAATGACAAAAGAATCCTTAGTGACACAAAAATTAGGTGTGTGTGTGTATATATATATAATTAATACAAAATATGGATAACCTATGAATTAATAAATATTACGGGTGAATTCGTAAATCTAAGGCCCCCTTTGGGGGGTAGTTAGAATGAGAAAAACACTTTTGTTAAGCCAAAAAAATTGTTGATAATAAAATAAAAGTGGTTCAACCACAATAAATAATCTAAAGCATTTTGATGGATAAATAAGGGTATTTTAAAGATTTTTGGTCCAAAAATGTCAATTTTCTATGGTAAATGACTGGATATCTACATATTTTTGGAATATATAAAGGGATTTTGTGCAAAAATAAAAGCTTATGAGAATTTTTTACGAAATCGTGCACTTAAGTTGAGGATTTATTATTATTATTATTATTTTTCCATTTAGTATAACATGTGAACACTACTATTTAAACAAAAAATTCTAAACCAATATAAAAGTTTGAGGATATACGGACCAAATGCTTTAAAAACCCTTAAGATATGTTGATGCGAAACTAACAGTCTCACATGCATCAACATATCTAAAGGGCCTTTATGGGTTTGGGTTAGAGATAAATATCAAATGTTGGTGGCTTACTTGCAACAAGTCAAGAATTAGGTGTGTATATATATATATAAAACGAAATATGGATAACCTATAAATAAAAAAATATTACAGGTCAATTCATAAATCGAAGGGTCCGCTTGGCATCGTTGTTAGAATGAGAAAAACATTTTTGTTACTAAAGCTGCCAAAAAAAATTGTTGAAAATAAAAATAAAAGTGCTTAAGTGGTTCAACACAATAAATTATCAAAAGCATTTTGATGGATAAATATTTTAGAGAGTTTTGGTCCAAAAATGACAATTTTATATGGTAATGGTCCGCAAATGACCGGATATCTACATATTTTTGGATAGTACAAAGGGATTTTGGGCAAAAATAAAAGTTAATGAGAATTTTCTACGATATCGTGCATTTAAATTGAGAATTTTTTATTATTATTATTATTTTCATTTTAGTATATCATGTGAACACTACTACTTAAACAAAAATTCTAAACAAATATACTGACCGAATGCCTTATAAGCCCTTAGATATGTTAATGCGGAACTAAGGCGCCTCACATGCATGCATCAACATATCTAAGGGCCTTTATGAGTTTGGGTTAGTAATTAACATTGAACGTTGGATGGTTTACTTGTTAGTCAATAGTTAAGTGGTGTTTACAAATTGGATGTCTAAATTTATTAGTTGAGAATTGAAAGCATTAGTTGAGGTGCGTGCATGCATATATACACAAAGGTTATAACATGCAGAAAATATTTTGGCTTCAAAGAGAGAGATCCCATCATGAATGTTCCTAGCTGCCCTAACTATTCACATTACCATTCCAGATTCAAGAGAGGTAAGTCATCAACGTCCCACGAAGACTTCCAACTTTTCAACACTTGAGGTGCTCGAGTTGGAAAAATTGGAGGCCTTTGAGGGAGATTGGTAACTCCTCCAATATTCTCGAGGTTTCGAAATCGATCTCCTTCATTTTCAGGCATGAGTAAGCCTCCAACCTCCAGCCAGCTCTCAGACTTAAAGGACAGCAAAGTCGGAAGCCATTGAGAGAGATTGAGAACCTCCCCATTCACACCAAGCACACAAATCTCAGTGTGGTTTATATAGAGATCGATCATCTATCAATTCAAATGGACTTTAATGCCACGCGAATATTCTCATCCTTAGCCTTTTGCGTGATCTTATCTGAAGCTACAAAAAGTGGTTTAATTGGAAGTTTCCACTTATGAGAACCTGAAGAGCTAGGAATTAATTTACATGCACTATAGTTTGAAATTCAAAATTTTTGGAAATTATAGTTTCAAATTCTTGGGAATATTGACATATATATATATATCTGAATTAATTGACTGTGTACAGTAGTGGCTAGGAGAATGTCAATTATGTGAGAATTGATTCCCCAGATAAGGTCAGTCATGCCTTTTAGTTATGGCCACAAACAAGCAGGAGAGCTACATTTACATATAGACAGCAACCATATATGCAATCCCAGATAGTATTTTTTTTTTTTTTTTTTTCAAACAGACGTGTATTTGAGTACTCCTCCCCCTCCCCTAGGGAAAAAAAAATATCAATCAAAAAAACAATCAAACTTTTATTTGGGCCCATTTGGCCCTAGCCCAATAGAGACATAATGTTTGGCTAGGGCATGGTGGGTACAACTCCTGCCTGTCTCTATTCGGTTAGGCCCAAAGTCCTTGAAATTTATTGGGTACATGCATCATCATACTTTCAATTAAAGAAAAACATAAAATAAAATAAAAATTAAAGTTAAATTCATAGTTATGATGTAATTGCATATAAGTTCAAAACTTCTATGTTTTCTCATATTAAATATTACATATATAATTATTATATTATGTATATTATATTTTTTATTTTATACAATGTGCATATATAAGATGTACATTTGATCAAATAATTAGATTAACAAAAATGAATTTCAATTACAAAAAGTAATTGAGTGGCATAAAATAGTATGATTTTTTCTCATTTTGTTTGATTCAATAGAAAAAATAATATTTAGTTTACGCTCATAATGTAAATTTTACTTTTAAATTTTTTTTTTAGACTTTAAACTATATTCACACAAGTGAAACCCCATTGACTAGTTCGGGTATTTTAACAAAAGTTATATATATATATAATAAAGAAAGATTTATTGCAAAACCCTGCAAGTTAAAAAGGGTTAAATACAATTTACCTGAATTTATTTTTGTTAACACTATTTGTGAGTACCGGTGATTTGAAAGTTATTCCAGCTATTGAATTGCTTCCCATATTCACTAGCCTTTCATCTTGTACCTCTCCTCTAATCGCTAAGACAATCTTACTTCAAAAAATAATAATAATAATAATAACTTTGCGATATGCTAGGATCCGGATCCCCTCTTATTGTGGAAATTACAAGACCTATTTTGTGCCTCAAAATGTTTACGTTTGGAAGCATAGTTGGCAGTCACTTAAAACTAATTAAGAAAGTATTTGTTCGTTCCTTAAATAGCCATGTTTTGTTTTTGAAATATTAATCAGCCCTCAAAATAAATCTAACGTGATGAAAACTAATTGAAAAAAATTGAAGTATTTTCATCAGAGAAGAACAATTTGTGATTTTATATATACCACGAGTGTATTCGCGGGAATCTATTGATTCTTGTTTAAATTAGATTTATGCATAAAAATTTATGTGCACATGCTATAAATTTGGTGGTTGGTGGAGAGGGGGTGGTGGTAGGAGGTTGAGAGGGGAGGGGTGGTGGCTACCATTAGCCGGTTGGAGGTGGAAGAAGTGGAGGTGGCCATGGTTAGAGGGTGGGGGTGTAAGAAGTGGAAAAAGTATATAAAGTTACAGAGATATGGAATGAGAGAGTGGAGAAAGAGAATAAATATGATAATGGTAAATTTTTTTATTTTTTTTAAAAGTTATAATAAGGATGAGTTATTGTTCCTTAAACTACGGTAGTTTTGAAGCACAAGACAAGACTACATGACCTCTTCAATAAAACGGGATCCAAATCCATCACAACTAAAATTCAAGTACCAACTTGCTATGGAGTCAAGTACCACGTGCTCAATTTTGAGCATCGATGCCTAACATTTTGTTTTGCAAATTTGCATTACTTTTTCAACATTATTTTCATACTTAAATCATTTTAAGATACTATCAAAAGAGAAAAAGAAAAACATACAGATAATAAGATCACTCAATTCACATGTTCCTTATGTGTGTGATCATCATAGCACGCATTTTTCATGTTTGGAATTGATCTTTAACATCCTTTTCCAACTCTAGTGATACTCAAAACAAATTAAATGATATTGAACCCATGTGACCTAGGGTTCAAATTAGGTCAAATTCAACTTGATCTATTTAGAGCTCAATCCAATTCTTGGACATCCGTATTTTGGATTATTTTTTGTTTACTTGAATTGTGCTTGTTGATCTAAATATTTTCAACTCAACCTAAAACTCAAATTAGACTTGAATACAAGTGTTTTACTTTGCATTTTATTTTTTTTATTTATTATTTTTGCCTCCTATAGGTGTTTTATTTGAATAATACAATATTTTATTAGTATTTAGATTGTTAGATGTTTATGACAAAGTTTTCAAGTTAGAATGTTTGTTTGGTGTGATTTCTCTTTATTTCAACTCCATGCAATATGTCATGTATAATGCATATAATTTTAATTCGACTCAAAATCAGAAATTAAGCATAATTAAACTTTTTTTAAATAAATTGAATTAAATTCATGTTATGTTTTATGCTTCACGGTAAGAATGAGTCCATATTTAATTCATATTTTTTTTAATTTCAAATTTAAAGTTCAAACTGAATCCACCAAAGACTTGAATTCAAATTTATGTATTACATTTAAATTGCACACCCATTTTAGTACTTGCACCGTCCAATGAAATTTAATTTTCATAAAGGCTAGATACTGAGGGACATATATCTAATATGTGTATACGTGTATACATATACATATACATATATATATACTGAATGTAATGAATGTCACAAGATCCAAACAATGGAAGAGAAAGTACTCGAGGTTCAGGATGGTACTTTTGGACTTATTTGGGTCGGTTTGGCGTTTCAAATATTTTTCGAATAAAAAATTAGGTCAGTTGGAGTACCAAAATCCAATACTCCTTCCATGCCCACTCCCAAATACAGCTGGTCCAAGTACACATTCTTGGCTGACTCCATTTGACTGCTAATTTGTACTTTTCCCACCCAACACGTGGTGATAACGATTGGAGGGACTTTCAATTCACGGTAATTGGTGGAAACAGTAATATATCTAATCTAAAGTCATGATGCTTTGTGTGTATATATATATATATAGTCATCAATGAGATTGATTTTTTTGTTTTTAATTTTTTTTTCTTTCATTTTAATGGATTTTATCCAACACGACCTAATATTAATGAATTTGGTAGATATGAAACTTTTTCTTACATGGCTTGAGTTTGATCATATTCAATTTATCACAACAAATCGTACCCACAAGAATTGGCAGCATCAACAATTAATTAACACAAATTCACTGTTATATTATATAAACTTGTTCTACAAAGTACAGATGTGAGAAACCAAGAACAAGAAACGAAATTAAAAGGCTAACTCAAATATTACAAAACTATATATATGTATAATACATGTGGAATTAACTAATGATTCTTAATTTTTGATTTGAAAGGACAGGTCTCAGATCTCCGATTCTTTTGATTCGATAATCTAGGTTTAGAAAACTTTCTGGTTCTCTTGATCATTCCAAACGAAGCCAGTTTCCTCCTCTTGTCATGAGACGACTCTCTTATCGTGTTCAGCTTGGGCTTCCAACACTTGCGAGATTCAACGAGCTGCATATAATCTTTCTGCAACTGAGACGTAGTGCACAATTTACAATTACTGTTCAAAATATCGTCTTCCTCCACTTCTTCTTTGATCTTCGCTTGCTCCGTCAACAACTGCCACAAAAACTCCTCACACACCCGTATTCCGAGACAACCCGTCGGAGTTTTCATAACATCAAACGGCCGGCAACTGACTGCACCAGCCTTCTTTACAAATGCAGCTTTAGACGAGGAATGACACAGTTGAGAGTTGGAATTAGAATTGGAAGAAGTCAATGAGGCTATGGTGACGAAAGAGAGTACGGAATGGAAGAGATGGGTCGGCAAGAGAAAGTAGTTGCGGCCGAGCTGAAGCTGGTCGTGGTCTCTGAGAGGAGGGATCTTCTGGCCGATGAAGAAGGAATCGGAGCGGCAAACCATGTGTTTGGGAAACTCTAGCATGAGCTCGGAGGCATGGACCGGCTTGTCGTAGATCATAACTTCGCCGTCCCACCTCACCAATTTGATCACGGCGGATTGGCCGCGGTGGCGGCGGTGGTGGCGTTGGAGTTTACTCAACATGTTAAAACAGTGCCACGGATTCACCATCATAGAGAGATTGAGAATTTTGATGCCCATTCTTGATTGTTTATGAGTAAAAGAAAAAAGGGTTTTGGTTTTGGACAAGTTGTTTGTGTAATGAGAAAAGGAGATCACGAATAATGGTGAATTGGGTGCGGCTTTTAAGATGGATCGAGGTCTACGCCACTACTAGTTGAGTTAGGAGAGTGGAATATTTTGGAAGCATTTTTACCAAAAAGGGCACGAGAGAGAGAGATTGGTGTTTTTTTTTTGGAGAGAGAGAGACGCGCGAAAGGCGGTGAGAGGGAAAGTTTTGTGGGTGGATTGTAAGTTTGACGGATTGGGTTTGACCGAACTTAGCTTTCTGGGACGCCCTTTGAGGACCAAGGAATTTTGAATTAAATCCGCGCCACCTATTTTTGTATTAGGAGGTCTACTATATTAGGATGATAATAGTATATTCTTTGTTCATCTCAAAATAAGGGTTTACTTTAATTAATAAATTATTTAAAAGATGGAAATATACTACATCGAGACAAGTCCTCTGCAACAAAAAATTATCCTTTAACGTGGTGAACTTGATTCATTGAACACTACTGTATTTCGAACTTGAAATAAACGTTTACTTGCTTTTTTTCTTTTTTTGATATTTTAAATTTAAAATTTCTCAAATTGTTCCAGAATTCCTATAATATTTTTCAATTAGAGTGACGAAAATGTTCTTGTTTGGTAGTAAGCTAGAGAATTGTGATTTTGTCACTAGTTTATAGTTGTGATTATTAAGATAACTCCGACGTAAGTTGTGATATTCTTGCCTACTAAGGAATTGAGTTTGAAGACTTTATAAATAGATATGAGTGTCAGATATTAGAAAGAGAGTGGAGAGATGTAATAGGTTTAAGAGTGAATGTTGTAAGGAGAAAAGAGAGTATATGTAATTTTCTAGTGTATATATATGTAGTCTCAAAAGAGGTGATAACGTTTGAGTTGGGTTTTGACATTTGGTTGTATATAGAGGTACACACGGTTCGGTTCGTTACAGTTTCGTTAGGAACTGGAACCGTTCACAATGGTTCCTTAAAAATGGAACCGAAACCGTTATATATGGAACCGAACCAACCGAATAGTGAATACCAGTTTGGTTCTACGGTTCCTAACTATATACTTTTTTCCTGTTGTATATGTGTGTATATATATATATATAGAGAGAGAGAGAGAGAGAGAAAGTGGTTAATCTATAGCCATGAAAAGTAATAACAAGCAGGCTTCAGCTTTGCAACTTGAGAAACTCCTACAATAAATCTGCCATGGCCGTCGTATTCATCGGCTACTCTATTGTCTGCCATCGCTGTCGCCCTCATTGTCGACATCCGTGGTTAATCTTCCATCGTCATCGTCTTCATCGGCTACGCCGCCGATTTCGGCCACTTCTTCCGCGACTTTTGCAATAAATCCTCTAAAACTCGCACCATCGCCATCTTCGTCGTCGAATTCTAGATCCTCGACGTTGCCAATAACATGCTCCAAGGCCCCTGCCATGCCTTTCTCACCAACTTCTCCGTCAGAAACCAAAGCAAAACCCGAAGCGCCAACGCCTTATTTTCCTTTTTCATAGGTTAGGTTTAAGTTAACTTTCCTTTATCATGGTTTACAAGTTACAACTTTACTCAAGTCAATGAGTCAAGGATCAGATACAACTTTACAAAACAAAAGAATAAGATGGACCACGTGATGAGTGACTGATTGTCGCCTCGTATGATACCCCTCGATTCTAGAGTCACGGGTGATCAAGTTCGAGTACAGATCCGAGAGATACCAAATAATTAAGTATATAAACAAAAATTCGATTCCAAAAGAAATAACTAAGAACAAATAAATAGCAGAAAAGAAACTAAATAATAAATCCTCCAAATGAAAAATCCAAAACATTTAATATCATTACAACTTGGGAATCCATCTAGTGGACCCCTAATGATAATCCCAACTGAAATAACTGAAAATAAAATATAATCTCAACACTAAAACATAAAGAGAATCCTACGTAGAATTGGAAGAGTGATATGGACTGTCTTTGCTCAGCACGAACAAGCTCTATGTCTGAAACTGACGAACACCTGAAAAATAATAATAGTGGGTAAGGCCCACGAACAAGTTCTTTCTACGACAACCCAAACAGAGACCGAAGAAACTATATATCTATAACTAACCCATACAATAACTATATAGTTCATAATACATATACACACTAAAGGAACCTCACTAGATTATAGGGTTGCCTCAACCTGAATAGTAGGCAACATGCAAAACGCACATATAGTGGGCATGAGTATCTAGACCTACCAGGGCACACAACCACACTATATCTAGCTACACATCCCCGACAATATACGCACCATATCCACTTATCCTAAGACTCAAGCTCATATCATAGTATATGTCTATATATATATATATATATATATATATATATATGTATATCTAATCTAAAGTAATCTACTATGTATCATCCAAGTTGTTCAGTTGACCTGACACAAATATAAATAGAACTTACCATTTAAGTTAATCCGTTCCCTTATAAAATAGGTAGGACTTAACTAATAAGTTATTCTATCCCTAGAGTGCCACCATCCTATACTGGTGCACTATATCCACACAGTCCAATAGTTGATGTAACGATTAAAGTAATACATCAAATAATCCATAAATAAACACAATAATATAATATCATGTTATCACAAAATATGAACGACTTATAATTTATTTAAGCTTCCTACATCATATATCCTACGCAAATTGAATCTTAAACATGCTGATATTTTACTATTCAGTCAAGTAAGTATTCTCCACATACAATTAATACTATACATTTAATCTTAATTGTTAGAACATAATAAAGATTAAATCTATTCAATCCTCAAATAATTCAAATAGTATGCATTGATATAATTAAGTTTGTTTAAAATTTATTTAAACTCATTCCTAGTCCTTATTTGATATTTACGACTCTTCAAATTCAATTAAAAGTATTTTAACGCTGTTTACGAAACTTCCCCATGTAAGGCTCGAGCTTTTGTCCCAATTGCTCGATCATCCTGCTTCAGGCTCGAACTTTTCATTTAATTGCTTGAGCTTTTCTTTTCAGGCTCGAGCTTTCCTTTTCAGGCTTGAACTTTTCACCTAATGGCTTGAGCTTTGCCCCCAAGGCTCGAGCACTGTATCAACGAATCAAGCACCGTTTACGCGATTCAACCCAGAATTATACTATGAACCCAAATATTTATTATTTAAGGATTCTAAGGCATGTTTCTAGGTTCTATCAATATACAGATATAAAAATACATCATTCAAAACATGTAACAATCATAAAGTAATCAAATCAAATCTCTGAATTTATTAATTCACACGGCAAGAATAATCATGAAATATAATTTATAAAACCTATCTTTTAGATCAATTAAATTATAAATTCCAATTTTAATTATTCTTTACATAACCCAAAGATTATACTAGAGATATATATTTCACAAATCAAATGAGAAGTTTAGAATAAGAACTTGCCCTTAGGGATATGATAAAAAAAAAAACCCTAACCTCCTTCTTCTTCTTCCTCTTCCTTCTGCCTCATTTTTTCTCTCCTCTTTCTCTAAAATAATACGTGATATAATTCTAATCCCCTTTTTCCAACCCTATAGTTATATATTTATAGGTTAAATAAATAACCCTACTACTTTTCCCAATCCACCTCAAATTAATAAAGAAAATAATAATAAAAAAATACTAAAAAAATAACTAAAATATATATTACGTATAATCTATGTATACTTTTTTTACATAAATAAAATAAATACATCAGATTATCACTAAAAGACTTTCCTTATATACATATATATGTATATTTATTTATATATATACACATACACTATCCATGGCCCATTAAACCCCTTATCCAAGTAATCCATAGAACCCAATTAGTTGGCCCATGACTACTATCCATAACTATTAAAATAAAATAAAATAAAATAAAACAATCATTTAACACATTTAATTCATAACCATTAATTACAAGAAAATACCTAACACATAATTCAACTAAACAAGTATCTCAAATAAATGCATAATCAACTAAGCAAGTATTTCAATTAAATACATAATTAATTCATATAAACAATTAAACAAATAGCCAATAAATCAAATAAAGAATTAAAAACACAATTAAAACCATTAAAATAAAATACCAAGCTTATCCTTTTAAAATTAGGGGTATTACACATCGAAAGTGTTGTTATCATGTTATGTATGACAATAGTCAGTAATTAATAATATATATAATTAAATATACAATCATATATATACGGTTTCGATTTCCAACGGTTCCCATAGGTTTGGAACTGGAACCGGAGCCGTAAGCCCACGGTTCCAAATTTTCAGAACCAGAACTGAAACCCCGGTTCAATTTGGTTCGGTTTGGTTACACGATTTTTTTGTACACCCCTACTTGTATATTCTCTTCCTTAATACATAATAGTGAAATCTCTCTCTATATGGATGTAACTCTAGAGTTTGGTGAACAATGTAAAATATTGTGTTGTGCTTGATGTATATAATTGATATTTTCCATATATATGATTGTTATTCCTATATATGCTTGTGTGATGATGATGTTTTTGCTATGTGTGATGAATGACGAATTTAACTCTCAATAACGACTAACCGTTGAGTGAGTTAGAGGCAATTAATATCTCTAATAGCATAATTGCTCTACATGTGTATCTAGGAGTAAAAAACGTTACATTGAAATGTCAAAGTATCGACCAAGTTCGAAAAAGTGTCAAAGAAGTGTCTAGAGGTGTCGACTGATTATGAATACAAACATAGAACAAGCGTTCGAAATGTCGACATGAATATGACACAGATAAGGCTCATTCGAAACATTCTTTAGAAATCCTTGGCTAATACTCCATATTATTATAGCTAAGGTTATTTTTGACAGACATGAAATTAGAGTTTTGAAATTAAAATTTGTAAAATTAGAAGAAAATAACTCAAAAAATTGAACTAATTTTTTTTTTAATTCTACGATTTTCAATTTTAAAATGCCGCAAGAGTAATAGTAATATTTGTACCAAGTCGACCTATTCAACCACTGCACAGTGCATTGTTGGTGAGAATCTCAGATCCATACAATATTTGTGGGCCCACCACAGCTCAGCGTTAAGTATAGTTTTTAGGCATTGAACATGAGCGGGGCCCTTGAGTCTCATCTGCTAATTGATCCAACCCATCAACAAATTTGGATATCAGATCGGGCCCATGGAGTTATCGAAGATTCAAAGCCAAGTAAGTCCATGGTTGTGCACGTGCAAACGACCTACCCAACTTCACGTGGTTATCACACGGATAGCCATCAGGGAAGAAATATGGATGCGGACAAACGAAATTATTAGATAGGAAAAGGATATAGAATAAAATTAGAATGATAAAAAATACAATAAATTTTCTAAAGTCATTGTTTGACGTAGAATGCAATGATCATTCAACAGAGGGAACATGAATTATCAATCTTTTGCCAACTATTCTAGTCTAAATGATGAAATGACACAAGTTTGGGCCCCCCCGTTTTTTTAAATATGTAAAATAGATTTAAAATTTTAAAATATAATATTATCAATTCACGATATATATTTTATATAATATACAATTATATTTAAAACAATACCATACTACAATGTTATGTTTAAGAATATCAAATCACTGCTTTAAAACTTAAATGGTAACATATTATTAATATATACATCATATTACAAAAAATTGATAATATAAAGTCAAAACCTTACAAGTTTAGTTCAGGAAAAAATAAAATAAGAGTCTTGAGTTTAGTTCACAAAAAAATAAAATAAGAGTCTTAAGTATATATACATGGAATTGTCAAATGACAAAAAATTTGGTGCCTTAGTCATCATCTTGAATTAGAATTTTGAAAAGGATATGTAAAAATTAATTTTTGGAAACATTTAGACTCCTTTTGTTTGAATGAAAAATATATATTTTTTATGTTTGGTTGTTGTAAAATATTTACAAACATTTTTTTTTAAAAATATAACAATAATAACTTATCAATCAATTTTCAGTAAATTATTTTACATGTCTCGTCTAATGAACTCAACCTTAACCTCAATCTAGACCTTTGCCAAACACCGAAAAGGTAAAAATAACGAAAAGGTAAAAATAAAAAATATATATTTTACTTAAAAAAGAAAAATATTTTTCAAGAAAAATATTTTAGGTCGAAATAAACGGAACCTAAAAGAAAAACCTTGCATATGCTTAGATAATCCAATGGGTTAGTATCTACGGTAAATTTTGGAATGCCATGCTTCAACTCTTTGCGTTCACTACTTTAACTCTAATCCTTCTTATCTTGTTAAAAAAAGAAAAAAAAAGATACTAGAAATACAATTTTCAGGTATGGGTAGAAAACATTGCAAGCCTTGTATTACTGGAGTGGTTAAGTTGCACCCAGTGTTTGGAAGTTCATGATGTTGGAGCCTTGCATCATTCTCCTCTAATAACTAATCACAAACCCCTAATCCTTAACATTTAAAAAAAAAAAACAATAATTATATGTAACACAAGTTAGCAAAATTAGTGGAAGTTAGTTCAAATAGTATGATAGCTAATCTTCAAATGATAGGTTATCTTTAAATCCTTTTATAATATTTTAGGAGTGAGTGCATTTGTTTGATTTTTCAAAATAAATATATAAATCGATGTAACAAATGTGATCATTAAATAAAATCAAAAAATCATATATGTGTATATTTATTTAGATTAATTTGAGGTGTTCATTTTTTTTCGCATATATAGTTAATAAAACCAATTCAAATAATTTTATTTTTTGAAATCAAAATCGCCCGACATTGTTCTTATTGGTTCGGATCGCATTGACCCAATACGTGCCCATCCCATCCTAACCCGATTGAATTCGGCCTCCGTTAAACACGACGAACGCGCGCAACAGCGAGGGCAAGACTATCGACATCGAAAAGGATTACAAGACGTGAAGAAAGTTGAAAAGTTTAGAGAGAGAGAGAGAGAGAGAGGGTATGTTGGGCCGGCGGTGGCTGACGGTGCCAGTGGTGGTCGGAGTAATAGGAATATTGAGAGCGTTGAGCAATCAGTACGGATGGGACAAAGACACAGCTCTTCAGCTCCTCCGCGAGATGTCTGATCGATTGGGGATATGGGCGATCCCTGTGTACGTTGGGATCCACACCATCACGCTCTCTCTCTGCCTCCCCTATGCGATCTTCTTCGAGGCTGGGGCTTCTCTGCTCTTTGGTTTCTTTCCTGCAGTGCTCTGCGTCTTCTCCGCCAAAATCCTAGGAGCCTCCCTCTCCTTTTGGATCGGCAGGTACTTTCACTTGCCTCTCTCTCATTTCTTCTTTCGAATTTCAAATTTCCTGATTAATACATCTTTTGCTACATGGGGTTTTTCAATTATTATTCATTTTCGCTATTTTATTTGTTTTGTTGATTGTAGTTATTGTTGCGTTTATTTGGTTGATAAATGTTGCCCTTTGTGGTGAAAATTTCTCTTTTTTGATTTAGAGATGGAAACTACTGAATAACCTTAATTATGTACATATAAATCACACGTCTGCATAATTAGTACATGATGTATTAAGTTCAGATAAATTTTTTATTTTTTTTTCTGGGTACTTGTTAAGGTTGCAATTAAGATTTTGGAAAATTAGAATTCATTTGAGCTAAAGATTACAATATTTTAACCCAACTACAGGAGATTAAATAGAGTGGAATGGAAACATGGGTTTTATGTAGCTGACCCCAAATAGTTGGGAAAAGGCTTGGTTATTGTTGTATAGGAGATTAAGCTTTGCATTGTGATGGAAAGTTTAAAATTCAGGTAATTTTACTTCATTTTAGTAACAAACATGTCATGTTTAGTTGAGGGGCGCCAAACGGACATCTGATAAGGAGTTCTGCAAGATCAGCAATAGTATCACCTAGTTGAATTAATAAAGATGCTACTTCCTCCTTTTAAGATCAGGGCTTGGGCACAAAGAGTTTGAGGGTGTTTATTCAGGGCTTATTTGGTAATTGGTTATTGAGGTATGCTTTGGAAGGGGATGTTGTGGACGAAATGTAATTGAAGGGAAGTTTGGGAATGATGGGTGTGGGCATCTACAGCGGTGCAGATTCTTACCGATTGGTCTTTATAGGAGGGTTGCTAGAGGATCAGAGATTTCTCCAACCACATTTCTTTTGCGGTAGAAATGAGTTAAGGATTTAATTGTAAAAGGAATTTTTGGTACAAAGAGGTGGCCGTTAAATATAGATTGTCAGTCCCCTTCTTTATGATAGTTGTTAAGGAAAATCTTGCTGTAAAGTTCTTCCTATCTTGGCCAGTGGTGTAACATGGAATCCCATGTTCAGTAACGCCTTAGTCTCGTAGAGCGGGAGGAGCCTTAGTCACGTAGAGCAGGATTTAGTGATGCCCTTTTAGTTTTCATATTGCTTAGTTTCCTTGTGTAGTCTTGAAAATTAAGTGCCTGTGAAGTACAACGAATTGGTCCGTTAACTCATATTTTGGAATGATCTCCTCATTTGAGGCTTCGAAGTGAATTCTTCAAAGAAAGTTCTTATTCCTTTCCCATTATGATCTCATATATATATTTTTATTATAAAATTTTGTTCGTTATGTTGCACAGACTCTCGTTCTGTCTCTCTGGTATCAGAACCCGTGACTTTGTGGTCTTGTTCAGGTTTGTTTTCAGGAGGTCAAGTTCAGCAGTGGATTGGGCCCAAAGGAACAAGTACTTCCATCTGCTTTCAAGGGGAGTTGAACGAGATGGTTGGAAATTTGTTCTTCTTGCTCGCTTTTCACCCATACCCTCCTATGTCATAAACTATGGCTTGGCTGCTACCAAGGTTGGTTTCGTGGTGGATTTCCTGCTCCCTACAGTAATTGGTTGCCTGCCTATGATCTTGCAGAATACGTCCATTGGCAGCCTTGCCGGTGCTGCAGTAGCTTCAGCATCTGGGTCTCAGAAATCTCAGGTTTGGTCATACATCTTCCCCCTGCTTGGTATTCTTTCGAGCATTCTTATCTCCTTGAGGATCAAAAAGTACTCCACTGATATCGCAGTAGCAGAATCATCTTCTGGTGAGGACACTCGTGACCATAATAGCACTGTTGACTCCTCTCAAACCTTCTCAAGTGGGAAAGGAAATAACGGCCTGAAGAAAAGTCAATAATAACTTTACTCTCACTGATTTTGCATTTGATTTTTATAGCTTGCCCCGATAAGATATGAAGGATTTTTGCTTGAAATCTCTCAGTCCTTGTCTAGAGAACTTGTTAGCAGTTGGGCCGTTTTTCTCCCGCAATCTGCTTTTTCCTGAAAGCATTCATTGGCACTGTGAATGTAGTGAAACTTGAAAACAACAAATATGTAACGTAGAAGCATGTGAAATTTTCTAGATACAGATGTAAGACCTAAAACTAAGGATTTGTCATTAGTCGATGTGTGAATGACTCATTAGTGGTCGGCAACATTCTAAAAGCCAATTGAGTTTGTTGATGACGATGAAGGAATTTCATCAAAGCTAATTGTAAGATGATGTAGGAGGTTCATTTGGGGTGTGTCCAGTTATGGGTTCAATGTGATACATGAAGACAGGAAAAAACCAATCAAATAGAAGCTTCCTTTCAATCATTGCTGTTTCAAACAATTGAACTCATGAAATAATAAACGTTTTTCACTGTGATGTTATATGATGAATGCATTATTATTGTTTGCTAATACTTATAATGGTAACCCGACAATGTGTTTTTGCATGCTGATACTATTGCTAATAATGGTAGCTTAACAAAATATTTTTTGCGGGAATGATGATGATTTATAATCGTAGATGGAGGGGGACAGGTCCTGTTGGTAGTTGTTCCTGAAATGTGGTTTGAATAATATTCCTGAATAGCACAGATTAGGATCTTGAAGTTACTTGATTTAATGTCTTCCCACCAGTAGTTCTTTCAGAGAACCCAAATCATATGTTGTACAGTATACCTTACTGTATGACAACAGATTTCTCCACCTTTTAGAGATGGGTATTACAACTTCTGAAACATTTTAGTTGGTTTGACTTGGGAATTAATATAAGCTTGGTCATGTGTTTTATTACTGGGTGAATTTCCAGCTTAGATTTATTAAATTTTCTACCCTTAGATGTGCAAGAGTGAGACTCCCATTCAATGATATTGTAGCAGTATATCACTATAATATGTGATTTGAACATTGTCTTTACTTGATATTTCCATCTCTCTTTGTGCTGTTATATTCCAAATGAGCCTTTTGGTAAAACAAATGGAAAGCCCTGTCTGCACGAGAGAAGACTAGACTAGACTGCGTAGAAATGTATTCGAGAATTATGTGATTTGAAAATCATGTCAAGTTTATCTATAGATATCTAGTAGAGAATGTTGTTAAATCTTTAACAGAGAATGTTAAGTATATGATTTTCAAAATTTAGTTATTCTTTCCTACCCTAATGTCAGCTGCATAATTGATGAGTTGGGTTAGCACGAGTCCCATTGCATCCAACAAATGAGTCTTGTCATATGCCAGTATGCAAACCCCTTCTTGTCAACCTTAAAAATTCTCCTTGTGGAAATCAAACTTGGTGGTGGTCTTGTGGGAGAAATCCAAAGCTAGTTGCCGGAGCTCCTTGGCTAAGGCTGGTGCTCCACAATAGAACACTCCTGCAGCATGAAGCCGTGCAATCAAAACCTTGGAAGATTGTTACGAGTAGTATTATCATCTAATTGTGTGTGTGCATTATAGTGTGTTTTTGTGCAAATGGACCCACGGTTGACACTAACCAATATGGGCATCAGGATGGTGGAGAGCGATGTTATTGAAGACTTGAGGCCACTTAGGCTTGGCGAAGTGGAATTTTATTCCGGTACCAGAAACAATGTCTAGGCTATTCTTGGCATGATATAGGGATTGGAGCATGGCTATGAGGGCCGATGTGGCGTCCCTTTCTTTGTAGACGCTGTTGCAGTAGTTGTGCATTTCTATGTTGACGCTGGTGCAGTAGGTGTGCATTTTTATCACTCCCTTGGAGTCCATCTCCGCCATCTCGTTCATGATCCCTTTGAACCACTTAAACGATCCTTGTTCCCTTGTCACCCAGCAGAAGTGGGCTCTCCTCATTTTGAACCCTTTCTTGTTCATTTTCTTTTTATTATTGATATTACCATCACTATTATTGGGAGTTGATTAGAATTAACTTTCTTGCCGCTCTCTATAGCTCCCTTCACTACTACCTCTTCTTTTTCTTCCACTTGTTCCTCATCTGAGTTCAACTTCATGTTGTTGATGATGTCCTTGACGATGCTGATCATTGGCGTCGCCCCGATTCCAAGCCCAACCAGCAAAACCACCTCGTATTTCTTGTAGTCTTGCGCTGGAGCTCCATACGGACCGTCTACCAGTATCTTCGGAAAGCTGTCCATTCAGTTCAACTCAATTTGGTTAAACTCAAATCATTCACACACTTGTACTGATTTTGGACTACTCAAATCAGTAGGAAGGCCTACTACTGATTTTAGACTTCCACATTTTTAATAAAGGATCTCACCAAGGGTTACTCCCTTCTTGTATTTCATTTCATAAACCTCTCTTCCCTCCATTTGGTGGCTGACCCACCTATTGATCAATGCAACAAATGAGTGAATTTCGATAACAGTTAGTGCTTAGTGAAGAGAAACCAATCAAGTTGAACTAATGGAAAGTGGCCTGAGCATTTGAATCTAATAGAAATAAACCTCAGAGAAAACAGTTTTGAGTTGGCGCGTCCAATCGCCAAGAGTTCGAATGTGAACACTTAGATAGTCATCTCCCGGTGCTGAAGTTAAGAGAAAATGGATGCCTGCATTTCATAGTTCATACCAAATCATTATTTAGGGTTAACATAATTTGTTTAGCTTAACTGATTTACCTAGTTAGCTACCATTCTAGCGAAGAAACTGTGGCACATTTGATGGACACATATTGTCCACTCTTGTATTTGAACCCGTGGGGCTTCGACACGGGCAATGTGAGGACATTTCCAGGATGAAAGGCAACCTTCCAGTAACCAAGGGAGTAGTCATCATTATCAGACATTTCAAATTGATCACTTCAATGAATAATTTAACTTCCTATTAATCTCCGTTAACTTATATTAATTTTATAGGACCTTCATAGTTGATCAAGTGATTGAGAAGAGTACTTTTTACTTTGTACCTTTAGAATGTTAACTGGCTGGATGCTTGATCTTAAAGCCCTGGTCATCCCCTCACCTGCATAGAGTGCTACTGGAACTGCCAAGTACATCCATGTCTGCTGTCAAAAGATGACGATGGATTGGCATAGGACACGAGAAGAAAAATAAACCAAAATAACAGAGACCAAACCGAAAATTAAGATGAGGAAGTGCTTACTGTCTTTTGGTACCATATCTTGGTAAGATAAAGGTATATACTATGGACAGCAAGGAGAACGTAGACAACCGCAAAAAGGTGGTGGGAATTCCAGAAGGCATTGAAGCCAACGATTCTTTTGAGGGGTTTGGGAATGTCAAGCTTGTTTCGCCTGAACCATGGGGTAGCTAGAGTGAACAATATGGCCATCAACACCACCATAGTTATACCTGTCACCCCTCCTCACCAAAGAAAGGTTTCAATACCCCATATTCTTTCAGAGTTGCATGAAGCAGGCGTGGGAAATCACAGACTAAGTGAGAACCACCATGTAGAACAATCCCAACCGTAATTCCTATCGCAATCACCTGAACATCATATTCAATGCATCAACATTTTAAATTTCTGGGGACTCGATTCATGAAGGAAGATGAAATTTTGTCCATTTTTACCTAGTGGAAATTTTGTCCATTTTTACCTTGACTAAAATGCACCTTTTAAAAAAAGAGGGATACATTGTGCACATAACTTATAGTATAGGGGGGTTTACTGCACTTAACCCTTTTCCTTTTCCGCATGACTATGCGGTGCAAATTTATCATATTTGTCTTGAAATTTCACTAATTTTAACACACGAAAGAGATTTAAGTAAATTTGAGTTTAGATTTTATTATCAACATCCATATACAAATTAAAAATCAAATCAAATTATGGCACCTCAATCCAAGCCCAACGCTAATTAAGTTTGGGTTGATATTTCTGAACCCTATCACAACCTTAATTGTGAAAATGGGTTGCCCAACTCGTGAAAAAATTGGGCTAGGCTTAAGTTGGCCTACTCAAGTTGCACCCCTAAGTTGGGGTGCGCACGTTTTAGTTTGGTCCAGTTCTGGAATGAATCAAAACCAAACTAATTGCAATGGTCCTAGAAATATTAAAATTGAACCTGTTAAAAATAGTAGAACCAAACCTAAATCCAACCACAAAGATTGTTTTTTTTTAGTTCAATTCTACGGTCTTAGACTTTTCTATATATATGTATATATACCAATACAATAAAAAATTAAACTTTATATAGAGTTGCAACTCGAGTGGATTGGAGGTTAAACCTGAGGTATGAAATTTTTAATCTTAACCCATCTCAACTTGAGCCTAATCCATTTTTTTTTTTTAAGTTCGGGTTGAATTCAGGCTTGCAAATCAGGCTGAATTTTCGGGTTGATGTAATATCAAATGAAATAACCTTTATTTTTTCACAGTTAAAATGAAATAACCTTAACCCATTTCAACTTTTCGAAGTGCTCAACCCCAATCTTACTCACTGAAACTTCTTTGGCAAGAGATTGCGGCACGTTTGTGTGTGTGAGCCTAATCCATCCTTAAATTTTTAAGCTCAAGTTGAATTCAGACTTGCAATTCAGGCTGAATTTTTGGATTGATGTAATATCAAATGAAATAACTTTTAACTTTTTCACAACTAAAATAATTAAAGATTTGACATGACATAATAACAAAATAACCCAATCCTGACCCGAAATGAAATTAGCTTTTTACTTTTCAACCCAAACTCGGATCGAATTGCAATTTACACAGCCCAGGCCCAAAAAATTTCAGCTTGGGCTCGGGTTGGTCCAGTTTTGGCCCACCTGAGTTGTAGCCATATATACAGATGATGATGATCTTATTATGTATTGCAGTGTAATGTATATGAAGTCATATTTTGAAGTAAGTGTATTAGACAGTATGCAATATATATTTACTTGTAACAGCTTAGTTCAGTTTGGTTCGGTACTTTTGAAACCTAAACCGGAACTGGTAATCAATGAATTTTTAATTTTTAATTTTTGAAACCGGAATTGAACCATTCCATTTTACAACCGGACCAAACCGGTACTATTTGGATTAGTCGGGTCTGGTTGATCGGTTTTAGCAGTATTTCGTGCACCTGTATTGAACAGGAATGTTACCCAGAGTGGTGTGAGGCTCTATAGAATTAGTTGATTACCTCGTCGACTTCTTCTTCCGTGATTCTGCCATCGGCATCTTTATCTATCCTTCAATTATCATTACCAGTTATATATATGTATTATATTATTAGTAGATCATTACACTTCAACTAATCCAAAAACCAGTTAGAGCAGCAATACCAGAAAATGAAAGCCCTTCAGCTGCTGATAAAAATAGTACATGTCAAAGAACGTCGAAGTTATATAACTAACGATTCTGTTTGGTTCGATTCTTTTGAACCCAAAACTAAAATTGAATAGTTGGTAATGCAGGGGTGCAACTTTAGTGGGCTCAACTTAG